GTGATGAAAGACAAGAAACTATTTTTTGAGCAATCCAATAAGCTAAGAATTGGTTTATTTTACGTTCCATACAGGGTCCATTTTCGCAGGTTTCCTATGGAAACAGCAGAGGGCAGTGGCTCCACTGCTTTAACGCACAACAGTTTTTATTTTTTGCCAAATTAATTTCCTCAGGGGAGAAACCGTTCTCAAGACTTCGTTGTCGAGTGATGCATGAAGAAGTGGGTTTCAATCGAATCCTACCTCGAGCTCATCAAACGCGTGTCCGCAAAAATTCCGTAAAGGTGACCTTATGAACGTCATGTTTCCCGGGCCGTTCCTATGGTCACAGGTCAGGTTTCAGAGCGTTGGGCGAATCGATTTGAGTCCCGTGAGCGATTCTCCGGAAAAGTTTTTAACGTTGGGCTGAAAAAAAAATAAAACGGTGAAAGATACCAAAAAAAAATAATGCAAGACAAGAACATAGCTCGCAATGTGATCAGAGAGCGGACAACTGAGATTTTTCCTAATTGTCCTCTGGAGAATGATGGCAGAGCCAAAGAGCGGAATTACAGGTACTTCGTCTGTGACCCCTCCCCTCCTGGGGAAGGAATTGATGGAGGAAGAGAGACTGGTAGACCAAATGAATTCGTCTCGATGGTCATTGTCTTCAGGACATTCCTGGATGACGTGGATTTGGGAAACTGTTCATAAATAAATAAATAAACGAATAAAATTCAAAATAAAACAAAAAAGCTTCCAAATTCCAATCCAAGTACGCTAAAAATTGTGGCAGCCAATTAAGAACAGGCCTTTAGGAGAAATCTAGAACAATGTCCTTGAATTCAAAAATACCAATCTTCTTTCAGCTGTCGAATATAGCTTGAAGTTGTTGAACGTTCTTTGCCAATTCATGCGAACGAGTGAAGTGGAGGGGAGCATCTGGGCGATATAATGTTTAGTTTCTGTCTCTTATTGGTGGCGGTCGAAATTCAGTATTTTATTGCCTCATGACATCGAGGTGGGGGTCGCCAGGTGATCAACACTGAACAACAACAGGTGCTGAAAAGCACGAGAGAGAATAAGAAGCGCGCGAGGAGACGACCTATAACAAAGAACAGTAGCGGCAGGGAAAAGGAATGAACCGCTTGCTCTCCATCGTCTGCTCTTCAATTCTTCAAAGAACCCATAGTTCTTATCAGAGGCTCCACCTTATCTATGTCGTTCTCAAGGAGAAAAGCAATGAGGCATCAAAAAGGAGAGCAACAAAAGGTTCCTCCCTTTTCACTCCGCAGTCGAAAGGATCAGTGATTGTAAATACGTCCCGGAGAATGGAAACCGCCGACTACGAGGCCTGGAAGAAATTCTACCTGAGGAACAAGCTCTGGTCTTACGTCGCGACGGGCGTCTGGCTCTTTGGGCTCATCGGCATGATCGCCTGCTTCTTGCTGTCGTATAAAGTGCTCGGTTTCGTCCTCTTGGCCTTCGCCATCACCGGACCGTTCTCGACTCTCCTCATCCCTGGGTACTTCTACAGCTTCGATAGGCGGCATAGGAAACCTCGGGTGAGTCTGGCACTATGTCTTCGTTTTCGGTCGCTGACGGTGCAATAAAAATAGCTAAGAAACTAATAATATTATATTACAATATTATTTTCCTTTCTTAACTCGCATCAATGAAAAATATTGATGAAGCACCCAAAAGGATGCTAGCTTGCAAACTAAAAAAAAATTCATTGTGCTGTGTGTGGCCCCGCATTATCGTGCTGAAGGATTACTCCTTTGGACGGCAATCAACAGCGTTTGTGAACCAGTCGTGAATGATGGAACGACAGAGCCATGTCTCACACCCACACATACTCCAATAATGCCTCTATTGAAGCAGCCTTCACAGGCTGCCTTACACGCTGTACGTCCAAGGCACTTCCTCCATCTTTCGCGAATGGTTTCAATTACTAAAGCACAGCAGTCTTGCTATGCGCCTGTCAACGTATTATGTGAACCTTTTGGCGTGAATGTCGCTTTCTTTCGCGTATTCCGAGTTCTGAAATCTAATCGCGAAGCGCAGATCTTCCAAGGTCCAAAAAATTGCCCAAAAACAGTAATGGCCTCATCGAGTGCGGAATACTTCTAGCACCGTGTGGTGCAGTTTTCACCCCTTACAAATTGTAATTTTACAAGATATGCCAACATTCAACTTATTTATTGACTCGCCCACGTATTATTCCATTAGGCTGTCTTTCAAATTCCGTTATTCACAAGCATTATTTCATACTATTCGAAAGGAGTCTCATGTTCCACGAAAATAACCAATTCTAAGTAATTCCTCGCATACGTATGCCGCGTTTCATGCAAACATTAAATAAACCATGAGCTTTGTCTTATCTAGTGCCTCGCCGCAGGAGTGGATCCTCGGCTGTACATGCTCCCGAACGTCCCGTTCCTCTTCGTGGAAGGAGGGACGATCCTGCCCACGGATCGGACGTGGTTCGTGTCGATACCCGAGGACGGGGTGTATCATGCGTGTCGAGGCAGCAGAGTGAAATGCCTGGTGCTTCGGGAGGCCCTCCACGCGATCCGAGGAAAGTCCTGGCACTTGAAGACCTTATCCCCTGCTCCGAGTCAGGGGAATCCGCCGTTCGTCCTCAAAGCCAGCCCTTCTTGGAATCTGCCATCGACCGACATGGCCTCTGTCGTCCTCGTCGATTCCCGGATCTTCCTTCCCTTCCCGACCTCGACTCCGGTGCTTCCTCCGGACTCAGATTCGTCGAGGGCGATTTTCCGGCTGGGATGCGCGAGGAATCCTCGGTTCCACCCGGAATTCGAGCTCGATCTGCCTCCAACTTACGAGGAAGTGATGGAGACTGCGCCGCCGACGAGATCGCGGGCATCGTCGGACTCGACTTAGCAGAAACCTCGGTCCAAACGATTTCCTTTCCTCGTTCGTCCTGATGGCTCCGCAAGAAGTTCTCAAACGATTGTTCGTATCTCGCAGAAAATTTTCTTCGGCCGCGAAACGCTTGTTGCAATCGGACGACGGTGACGTATTATTGCGTTCATTTCCAAGGGTTTTTCTTCTCACGTGGGGGTTCGGCATTTCATCATCAATACGAATGCAGAAAACGATGCCCATTGTCAATCCTGTTTCACGTGTAGTTCAATTTTAGCTAAGCTGGGCGACGTTTCATCGAGGTTTGCCATTAGCTCTCCTTCTATCTCGTCCAGTGTCATGCCGCGAGAGTACAGGTATATCCGAAACTGTACATGCTCCCGAACGTCCCGTACCTCTTCGTGGACGATCGGAGCGCCCTGACCACGGGTCGGTCGTGGTACGTGGGGATGCCCGAGGATGCGAGAGGCCTTGGAAATGGGGCGAGGAGAGTCAAGTGCCTGGTGCATCAGGGTGGCCTGGACAAGATCAGGAAGTCCTGGTACTTGAAGACGCTGTTCCCGGAGCCGACGCAGGGGATGCCTCCCTTCGTCGTCAAGCAGTTCTCTCGGAGCGTTCCGTCGTTCACCGATATGGCCTCTGTCGTCCTCGCCGATTCCCCGATCGCGGTCGGACGCGATCTGCCTGTCTCGAATCAGGTGCTTCCTCCGGACTCGGTGGCAGAGCGCGGAGCCGGTGATTCCCGCCGTTTCTTCAAGGGTGCTTCATTTACAGGAAACCATGGCGAATGCTTCTCGGATCCGATTGGAATTGAACCCCTCAAAAGTCGAGCTTGATTTACCTCCATCTTACGAGGAAGCTATGAAACTCCATCAAAATTGAGGTCCGCGTCGAAGTCAAGCGACAGAATTCTTCTTGGAACCCACTGGGCAACGATTTTAATGGATCCATGCATCCCCATCCCACTTGGCTCTGCTAAAGGACTTCTTAAAACAGTAGGATCGCTATCACACACTCTCTCACACATCAACTGCATAATTGCCAGACTTCATCCCGACAGCGGCGCACTTCCAGCGAGCTTCATATCTGAAAGCACGTCGTTTAAGGATCTTCCAGATGAGACTGCATGCGACTGGATATGAAGCAAACTGTGGGACTTCGTGAGTGAAATGCCGTATCGTGTCTCGTTGTATCGTTTGGTCTCAGCCGAAATGATATTATCAATGATTCTCAGGTGATGAAAAGCATTGCAATGCAGTATTTTAATGCTGTGCTTCCCGCGTCGCTTTATGTTATCTTCCCGCGTCGCTTTAGGTTATCTTCCCGAGTCGTTCAAGGGCATCTTCCCGGGTTGTTCTTGTTGTCACGGGTCGAATTAGGGCGAATTAAGGTGCGATTCGAGTTCCATGTGCGATTCTCGGGATACGCCTTTTCGATTAGACTAAAAAATGCAACGATAAAAGCTAAAAATATCGCAAGACAGGAGCACAACATGCAACGTTATCGGAGGGGGGATAGGTCGAGGTTTCTTGCCGAGATTCTTCTGGACTGGGATGGCAGAGCCAAGGGATGGAATCGCCCTTGTCTGTGGCCTCTTGCCGCCTGGGAAGGAATGGACGGAGGATGAGGGACTGGGAGGGCCGGCCAAATTTATTCGTCTCCGATGGTCATTGTCTCTAGCGCAATCCTGATGACGTGGTTTTCTGAAACTATTTCTCAAAAATTTTGAAAATTAAAAAATTAATTTAATGAATCAATTTCAAAATAAAATACGGAAAAGCTTCCAAATTGCAATAAAATTTCGCTAAAAATTGTAGACAATGAAAAGCACGTCTTTAGAGAGAAGTTACGATTCTATATCCATATGTCCTTGAATTTAATGTACCAATTTTTTTACATCTGTCGAATATAGCTTGAAAGTGCTCAACGTTCTTTGCCAATTCATGTGAACGGTTGAAGTGGAGGGCTGCGGCTGCAATACAATACTCAGTTTCTGCATCCTCCATCCATATTGGGGGGGGGGGGGCGAAATTCGTTATTTTAATGCATCATGTCATTGAGGTGGGGGCACCAGGTAATCAACACTATTCAGCACGAGAGAGAATAAGAAGCGAGCGGGAACACGACCCAAAATGAAGTAAAGAAGCAAAAGGCGCAGGGAGAAGGAATGAACCACATGCTCTCAATCGCCTGCTCTTAAATTCTTCAAAGTACGCATGGCTCTTATCAGAGGCCCCACCTTATCTACGTCACTCTGAAGGAGAAAAGCATCAAGAGGTTTCTCCCTCATCACTCCTCAGTCGAGAGAACCAGCCAGTGTAAATGCGTCCTGGAAGATGGAAATTGCAGACTACGAGGTCTGGAAGAAATTCCACAGGAGGAACAAGCTCTGGTCTTACGTCACGACGGGCGTCTGGCTCTTCGGGCTCATCGGCATGATCGCCTCTTTCCTGCTGTCGTATAAAGTGCTCGGCTTCGTCTTCCTAGCCTTCGCTATCTCCGGACCGTTCTCGATTCTCTTCATCCCTGGGTACTTCTATAGCTTCGATAGGCGATATAGGAAGCCTCGGGTGAGCCTACGTCGTCGTTTTTGCTTGCAGGCGGTGAAGTTAAAATAGAATAGGGCTGTATTATTGTAAATCATGACATTGTATTCCTTTCAGGACTGTATCAAATGAAAAATATGAATGATGCCACCCGGATGATGTAAAGATAACTATAAGGTTTATTTTTAAGATGACTTAGCAGGTTCGTGAATATTATTGAAATTGTTTTTTGATAGTGCAAGAGTTTGTGCTTGATCAAATCATGTTTGTCTCTGTCGGACACAATATTTCATAGTAGCTCTTACAGCTAAGAAATAAATTCGGCAGTTCCACGAACCGAAAAATATGCATTACAAAGGCATATGTATTTTTGCGTCAAATTGTGTTAAGAGTTATACTTTCTCCCCCTCATGAAAAATGCGCATCTTCATCATCTACGAGGACGAGTCGAAAGGTTGCATGTTTGTATCGAACAAGTGAAAAATAAATAACGGATTGGTAGGTGTTAATATTTCACATTAACATGTTCTTTACGGTTGTAAGATGAATAAATAACTGAGCGGGAGCGTAAAAATGTACTTCTACGTAAAGTCAAAGTGAATACTTGTCCGTATTAAAGAATGATAAGCTTTCCTATCTAACTTTCAACGAAAATAACCAATTCTAAGAAATTGTAAGCTTGCATACGCCACGTTTCATGCAAACATTATATAAACCATGAGCTTTGTCTTATCTAGTGCCTCGCCGCAGGAGTGGATCCTCGGCTGTACATGCTCCCGAACGTCCCGTATCTCTTCGTGGAAGGAGGGACGATCCTGCCCACGGATCGGACGTGGTACGTGTCGATACCCGAGGACGGGGTGTATCATGCGAGTCGAGGCAGAGTGAAATGCCTGGTGCATCGGGAGGCCCTCCACGCGATCCGAGGAAAGTCCTGGCACTTCAAGAACTTTTCACCTGATCCGAATCAGGGGAATCCGCCGTTCGTCCTCAAATCCAGCCCTTCTTGGAATCTGCCATCGACCGACATGGCCTCTGTCGTCCTCATCGATTCCCCGATCTTCCTTCCCTTCCCGACCTCGACTCCGGTGCTTCCTCAGGACTCCGGGCTGACGGAAATCCCCTCCGATTCGTCGAGGGCGATTCACATGCAGGGATGCGCGAGGAATCCTCCGTTCCTCCCGAAATTCGAGCTCGATTTACCTCCAACTTACGAGGAAGTGATGAAGACCTCGCAGCCGTCGAGATCGAGGACGTCGTCGGAATCGACGTAGCAGAAACCTCGGTCCAAAACGATTTCCTCTCCTCGTTCGTCCTGATGGCAGAAGTTCCCAGACGACTGCTCGAATCTCGTGGAAAACTTAGCTTGGCCCTGATACGCTTCTGGCAATCGGACGGTGACGCATGATCGCGTTTCTTTTCGAAGGATTTTCTGCTTTTTTCTTCTCTCGTGGGAGTTCCTTCTCTCTCTTCCGCATCAAACTCCGAGAAATTACATATTCTCTTGACTCGATTGCTTTGCTCTCATTTTTCGGTCTAGCAAATGTGATGAGCTACCAGAGTTGAAAGCGCGCGAAGGGAAACGATCGGGAAAATTCAGCATCTGCCATGCTTCGACCTCGTTTTGTCGACATTGTCGACGTCGTCGAGAACGACTGCGACAACTTAGACTCCTAGAGAGCTATCAAAACTGAGAAATATTTCTCGACCGGATGGAACGTTCTTTTTAAAAAGGCATCGGACCTGCCATCTGGCAGCGACTCGTGCGAGCAGAGTTTCTACGACCGACGCGAGATGTCGCCAAGTGGCATTGTGTAGTGGCATTCGCTTTCAGCGAATGCCACTTCACTGTTATCACGACGAGAAGAAAACAAGGAAGAAAACTCATCGTTCGGGGTGGAACGCAAACGCCATCTTGTGCCGATTTTGCGAACCCAGACATCTGCGCGTCCGCACATTTCGTGCGCTTAGCAGTTTTTTTTATCGTGAAATCGTGAAAGCTTCGAATTGGAATGTTGGACAATTTTTTCGCTGCTTTTTTCTGCGTATCTGACTGCATGAGAAGGCGCGTCGTGAGTTATTCACGAATTACTTGTAAATGGGAAAACGAAAGGCATTTTCACCGAAATAAGAGCATTTCAAAGTGAGCCACCCAATCGCGAGAGTCACCTTCCACAAATTGCACAAAGAAGGGAGAGAGCGAGAGAGAGAGAGAGAGAGAGAGCGAGAGCGTGTTCTACTTCGGGACACGTGAAACGTTCCAGCGAATCGGGCCGAAATTAACTTTCCCCTCGTTTTCATTCGACGAATTTGCACTCCATTCGAAGAGATATGCGGGGCGAAAACGATTGTTAGCGGGTTTACCAATATGTACCAGAAGGTAACGGTTTTTCGTATCTGAATTTTTTTTTGTGCAATTTAATTTCTACGTTGAATTTACGTGCAGCAGTTGGATGCTTTATGGTCGGTGTCGGGTCTCTCTCATCCAGTGCCTTGCGGCTGGAGTGGATCCGAAATTGTACATGCTCCCGAACGTCCCGTACATCTTCCTGGAGAAGAAGAATTTCCTGTCGACAGATCGCACCTGGTAAGTGGCGATGCCCGGGGACGCGATCCGGTCCGATCCGACGAAGTGGACGTGCGTGGTCGACGGGCGAGTTCACCGGGAGGCGCTGGAGAGGGTCAGGGGGAAGTCGTGGAGTTTCGAGACGATCCCGCCGAGGCCGAGCCAGGGGATTCCGCCGTTCGTCCCGGAGGCCAGCTTCTTCAAGGACCTGGCCGACGGACGCGCGGACATGGTCTCCGTCGTCCTCACGGATTCCCCGGTCGTCCTTTCCCGTCCCCCCGCCTCCTCGCAGGTGCCTCCTCCGGATCCCGGGCCGAGCGCGAAATCGGATCGCATCGGACCCGACCTCCCAGAGCATCCTCCAGTCCCCAGCGACGAGTGAGTCTAGGAGATGGGTTCGAGATACGTGGGTAGCCCGTGAATCATGACGCAGACAGGAGCTGCGTTCTGATTGGCTGGCGACGGTCTGTCGCTAGACGCATGTCTCGGAGCTCGTGCTGGCCGCCATATCAACCTGCGTTCCTATTGGCTTTCCGTAAGTACGTCATCGACTCCTCATTGGCTATCCATTATAACAGTTTGATTCCTTGGAACTCCTTGCGTCGGCCGTTGCGTCGCAGCTGCGGCGTTACTTCGTCGTAGACATTCCTACCATTCTTTTCCATGGGCGCGTTCAGACCGGCCTGCGACGAGGCTGCTGAGAGGTCTCGCCGACGGACGATGTGAACCGGCCCGAAGAAGTACGATCCGAGAGATGTTAGCCGGTCATCCGACCTTTCCAGAGGGTCATCAGCCGGAAGGGGGACCGGACCCACGCGATCCTCGCAGGACGATTAACGCGTAGGACCGTAATGGTAATTTCGCGAAGTCGCGATTGATTGTGAAATTTTCAGAGGCTGCACCCTATCTACAGCGTTCTGAAAGACGAAAAGAAAGAAGAGCTTCCTCCCTCATCACTCGCCTGTCGAGAGAACCAGCGAGTGTAAATCCCGTCCCGGAGGATGGAAGTTGATGACTACGAGGCCTGGAAGAAATTCCACAGGAGGAACAAGCTCTGGTCTTGCGTCTTGTTCTTTGGGCTCATCGGCACGATCGTCTACTTCCTGCTGTCGTCGTGGATTTGCTTCAAGCAAATCCATATTCTATCGACTCGATTGCTTTGTTCTCTTCTCTCGGTGATAAGTAAATGTGATAAGTTCACTGTGTTGAGAACGGGCGAAGGAAAACGATGGGAAATATCCAGCAACTGCCAGACTTCGACGTCCTTTTGTCGACGTTGTCGAGAACGACTGCGACAACTTAGACGCCCATAGAGCTGTCGAAACTGAGAAATATTTCTCGGCCGGATAGAACGTTCTTCAAAAGAGGCATCGGACCTGCCATCTGGCAGCGACTCGAGCGAGCAGAGTTTCTACGACCGACGAGAGATTTCGCCTAAATTGCTAAAATCCTCTGGACTTTCCATGGACTACTTGAATTTCGGACTGCGTTAATGTTTTAAAATTCATTCGTCAGGGAATATAATCATTATTCGGCTTAATTTGTATTGGAAAAATTAGAATTATGATGTTGGCCGGTCATCCGACCGTTCCGGAGGGACATCAGCCGGAAGGGGGATTAATGCGCAGGATCGAATTGGAAACGTTCGCGAAGACTCGCTTCGATTGCATGGAGGGAATCACACTCCAGGAAGATAATTGTTTCGAGGAATCCCCTCCAGAACGAAAAAAAAAAGTTTGGATCTTTTTCGGTTTTCTTTCCGCGCCGGTTCAGAATTTATCGGCGTAAACGTTCTGGAACGGCGCTCATTAGCGTTCATTAGGGATTAGGGATTAGGATTAGATTAGCTTTTTGCCGGATCTTTCTTGCCATCTGGGAAAATTTTTGCTCGGCGGCGAGACGGACGAACGGCCGAGAAATTTCTCCAGCCCGTCGCCAAAAACTTCTCGGGCGAAGAGTCTCCGAAAACACGAAGGAAAATGATCAGTTTCCCCGACGGAAGCGAGGAATCGAGCGAACGGAGATGCCTCTTCGGTTCCTCTTCGATGACGACTCGAACCTCGAACTTCTCTTACCTGAAATCCTCTCCACGAGCCTGAAGATAAGCGATCGCCGGCAAACGAGCGCCTCCTTGGTCTGCCTCGATCCTCCGATCTTCCGAACCTCCTCGATCCTCCCGTCGTCCAACTTCTTCCGGGCCGACAAGGATGGAGGCCGCGGACTGCAAGGAATGGCGGCGATTCCACGACGCGAACGACCTCGCCGCCAAGCGTGTTCTTCTGCGATGCTCCTCGCCGGCCTCGTCCTCTTCTTCTCGGGCCTCCGCGAGGTCTCCTACGGCCTCCTCGCCTTCGCCGTCCTAAAGCCTCTCACCCTCTTCCAGCTCCCGTTTTGCTTCTACGACTTCGAGAGGCGATACAGGAAACCTCGGGTGAGGCGATGGGCGCGTCCTCTGGATGCGTCGAGATGCGATGCGATGATGAAGGATTTGAATCATAAGTGTTAATTATAACGAAAGTAGACGTTCGCGCGGCAGAGTTGAAACGTACGACGAGGTACATATTTTCTACGTTATGAGGTGCCAGCGCGTATCGCAAAATTCGTTCGTCGAAAATGTACCAAAGCGGAACGAGGCACAGATGTGGACGTTCTGGATTCTTTTCCGTGCGTGCCTCGTTTCGGACTCGGGGGCGTTTCGATGGCCCGCTTACGAGCCGCGATTTTGAGCTTTCGGGAGAAGACGCCATCATCCGCCGTCTCCGACAGACGGCGAACTGCCGTAGACGAGACGACGACAGCGCGAAAACGTTTCCGCGGCGCCTCCTCCAGGTATCGCGGAGACGATCGGTCGAAAGCCCACGCTGTCGCGAGGACGGGCCTTCGAGTCCACCGAAAGTCCATCGTCGTCCGAGAGTGGAGACTCCAAATCCGTTTCCGCTTCTCGGTCCTCGTGCAGGACCCAAGCGTTTCGAATTCTCCAGAACCATCGAAACCCAATAACTATGCTTTTAGCGAATGCCACTTCACCGTCATCACGACGAGAAGAAAACAAGGAAGAATACTCTCATCGTTCGGGGCGGAACGCAAACGCCATCTTGTGCCGATTTTGCGAACCCAGACATCTGCGCATCCGCACATTTCGTGCGCTTAGCAGTTTTTTGGCCGTTCCGCAACTGGAATTTGCCACACAGATAGGGCTTGGCGCTGATTCCAGCGGGCTTAGGGGCGAGGTCGAGGTGTCCCCCGTTCAGAAAAGGTCATTGTAAGCAGATTATGAATCAGCTCGAGTCTAAACTAAACTAAACCCACCTAAACTAAACTAACAAGAGACTTCGCAACTCCATCTCAGCACGTCACATCAAGTATGGAGCCCTATCTATCGGAAAGTCCGGATTATTAACTCCCCGACCTTCGAGACGATCAGCTCGGCTGAGCCCCAGGTCGTTAGGACGTGGCCCCTCCGGTTGCAATACAGCCGGGTTATTTTTTCCCTCTCGATCGCGAAGGCTTCGAATTGGAATGTTGGGCGCTGCTTTTTTCTGCGTATCTGACTGCATGAAAAGGCACGTCGTGAGTTATTCACGAATTACTAGTAAAAGAGAAAACGAAAGGCATTTTCACCGAAATAAGAGCATTTCAAAGTGAGTCACCCAATCGCGAGAGTCACCTCCCACAAATTGCACAAAAAAGGGAGAGAGCGAGAGAGAGAGCGTGAGCGAGAGCGAGAGCGAGAGAGAGAGAGAGCGAGAGCGAGAGCGCGTTCTACTTCGGGACACGTGAAACGTTCCAGCGAAACGGGCCGAAATGAACTTTCCCCTCGTTTTCATTCGACGAATTTGCATTCCACTCGAAGCGATATGCTGGGAGAAAACGATTGTTAGCGAGTTTACCAATAAATACCAGAAGGTAACGGTTTTTCGTATCTGATTTTTTTTTCGCGCAATTAAATTTCTACGTTGAATTTGCGTGCAGCAGTTGGATGCTTTATGGTCGGTGTCGGGTCTCTCTCATCCAGTGCCTTGCGGCAGGAGTGGATCCGAAATTGTACATGCTCCCGAACGTCCCGTACATCTTCCTGGAGAAGAAGAATTTCCTGTCGCACCTGGTAGGTGGCGATGCCCGGGGAAGCGATCCGGTCCGATCCGACGAGGCCGAGCCAGGGGATTCCGCCGTTCGTCCCGGAGGCGAGCTTCTTCGAGGACCTGGCCGACGGACGCGAGGACATGGTCTCCGTCGTCCTCACGGGAAGGGGCCAGCAGGAAAGGGCAGGGGGGCGGAGGAGCGTCCACGGAGGAGGCCTAGGGCCCGGCTCGCGCTTTAGCCTAGCGTAGCCTGGGCTGGAGGGTCTCGTAGGAGGTCAGGGGTCGCTGCTCTTTCGACCCTCTGCACCTGAAAATACCGAATGGATGACCGACCTCCCGAGCGACGAAGGGACGAAGGTCTCCGACGAGGCACCGTCCAAAACGACCGAAGATATCGCCTGAATCATACGAGTTATGCATAACCGTTGCAATATATTCATATCGTATTGCAGGACTCCTTCCAGTTTTGCTTACTTTCCATTCTCCCTGAAATTTCTCAGATTTGACTCAGAATCGTTGGAGTGCCGCGTTTTCGCTCATCGAGCGGAATGCGATACGCCATCTCGGGGCGCTCCATCGCGTCGACGCGTTTACGAATCCGCTCGACCCGAGGCTGCACGCGCTCGGAAAGACAATTCGGCACGGATTCAGTGAATGAGATTCGTTTGATCGATTTGATGATTTGGGGTCGTTGTGAGTTTTCTGGATTTGGTGGGTGTTTCATTTCGAAATGGTCCTTAATTATTTGGGAGGGAGAGGAAAGAGGACCGAAAAAGTACCGAAAGGTTGGACCAAAATGAGAATGTAGCTCTTCGCATGGCTCTTGTCTTCTGTTTTTTTTTCGGGAAAATTCGCAAATTTTTTTTTGCAAAAGCCAATAAATTTCAATTTTCGAGGACCATTTCTTCATTCGCAGGTCTTTCTTCCTTCACGCGGAGTTTTTTCTGATGAATTTCTGAATCTTGCGGATAACCACTGCAAACGTATTTTAATTCGGACCTTTCTTTGCAAGTGCGGGGAAAGTCAGACAACTTTTTCTCTGTCCTGACGACAAAAGCGCATAACCACAAGTCCCATCACAGAAAAGTGGTGGGTCATAGGCGGCCCAGGCGGCCCAGACGGCCCAGGCACGGAACATGGCGGCAAGTGGAATATGCAGTTGCTGGCGCGCTACCTAGTGTAGGAGGAGGGCAACCAGCTCTCTTTCCATGATGTTTCAGGCATTCCCGCACATGCAGTACCAAGAGTCGCCACTAGATGGTATCCCAGTTCCCAGCACCCTATTGATGCAATTAAGTACCTGCCTTCCAGATTTAGCAAAAGTGATTCTTCCCTCTCTTTCCTCCTCTTACTGTGGAATTTACGAACAGTTATGAGGAAAGAGTGAAATTATGCTGTTTTGATAGCAATATAAGACTCGGAAAATTATTAAATGCTCAAGTTAAGCACGGGAATATAGAAGTGTATGGAACTAGGGACGGGTCGAGTGCTTTCATTCCCAAATACCATATGAAAATCAAGCGTATAATGAAGGGTGTAAGGGGAAAGTGGCCTAACTGCAAACATTTTCCGGAAATAGTGTCGGCTTCGTATTTATGAACCTTGTTCCTTTCATAGAAAGTTATTGTTGTTTGGAACCAAGTAAAGGATGGAGTGTTCCATCGATACATGCAACCTTTTCTCACTTTTAGCAAGACGGTCGTCACTGGAATATTCGCCCATTCCACGCGGAGCTCCAGGAAAGAATTATTTGCAGATAGGCCACTTTGCCTTTCAGCCCCTCTCATATAACACAGCGCTCGTGAAGTCCTTCCCACCCTCTCAGGGTTCCGGATTGAATGCGGGAAAGGAGAGCAGCGGGTCATGTCCGTTCTCTCGTAAGCTCTTCTCGATAGACCACAGCTCCTAGTTTTAGAGGTGAATTCTATATTTATGGGAACATGAGGTCCCTTCCCAGCCGGTGGTACACCACGAACGAGCTAACTGGTAACGTGTCGGCCCTCTAGGGGCGCGGAAGGTGGCGGGCCGGTTGCTGGCAAGTGGAACCCGTACCTGGTGGCCCACCACCTGGTAAAGGTGGTGGACCACCAGCTCTCTTTCCCAAACGTAGGTGGTGGTCCACTGCCTACGTGCCACTTGGGAACATGATCGACCGTGCAAAATACGGACGATCGGCAGAATTTTTGGCAAGATCTGTCACGAATTCGTTTTTCGTGTGCAGTTCGCGCAAACTGCGGTAGGGATCTTTTCTCAATCGATTGTTTTAGGTAGAGATAAAACATTTGCCGATCTGTCTGATGCTCGAGACTGAAGGTCCAGCTCACAGGTGGTCCCGGTCACAGGTGACCGAGTGACGGTGACGGTGCGATCTTTGTGACAGGTGGAACTGGACGGACGAGGGAGACCGTCGAGTCCAGGTGCTCTCGTTCTAATATTCACCGGGCATGAGCATCGGCAATGCCTAAAAGGGCATGAGCATCGGCAATGCCTAAAAGGGCATGAGCATCGGCAATGCCTAAAAGGGCATGAGCATCGGCAATGCTTAAAAGGGCATGAGCATCGGCAATATCTTGTGGGTTGGATAAATGGATCAAGGGAAAAAGTACTGACGGATGGTGAATGATGGCTCCTCGTTCGGAATAAAGGGAGTGGCGAGGATTTAAAGCCCGGATTACGTCTCATGGAAAAAAAAAGAGTTAAATAAGGAACATGTGCGTCAAATCTCACTTTGGCTTGGCCTTGGCGAGGCCCCCTAAGGTGGCCAAAGCAAGCTCAGGCTACCCGCGCTCTTTCCCTTTCCGTGTGCGAAGCGTACAGACAGTAGGTCCTACAAGTTGACCGAAGCCCCCGACCGTCGGCGAAAGGGAACGGCGAACTCGAGATACGTGCAAACTTCGCCACGTTTTCTCGGTTCCACATTCACGAAATTCGCATGAATCGCCGCCAGGGAAGATGAGAGAATATCCTCCAGATGGCAGTTCAGGCGTTACGCCGCCACGATGGACACGAACGTCACTGCTGCGTCACAACTGCGTCACGGTAAAGCCCTCCTGCTTTTGGAACAGCCTGTAATTCCTCAGGTGAAAGTGAATGCCGTTGCAGAAATTATATTATGTTAGTTCTAGAAATTCACATTATTTTTATTTATTTGAAATATAATTGGTTAAGTAGAATGCTTAAGAATAATTGTCCAAGAATTTGCATAATCAACCGATACATATTGACTATAGCATAAATTAGGAGATGAATAAATGAATAAAAATGTATAAACATGAAATAAGTTCCGGGTGATGTCAATGCTCCCCGGAAAGAAACGAACGATATTTATTAAATAATGGAATAATGGGAACACGGCCTACCCCTCCCTCTCCGAACCGGTTGATTGCGGACGCGACGGCCGTGGCCGCGCCCAGCCGGGTTCAAGGTCGACGCCCGACTCGCTTTCACGGATTCTGCTCGTTTTCCCCGTCGATTTCTCGCGACGAGGCGGTCCGCCGCCTCCGTCCGGCGGGAGGAGACGGGACCGACTGAGGAGAGGAAGAGGCGGGAAAGAGGGGAGAGGAAGAAGGCGCCAGTGTTGCCAGATGCGTGGTCTTGCAGTGTAGATGAAGTTTTCCGGGAAGCTCTAAGTTGGCACGCTGATGTCGAAATGATTTTAAAATGAAATCATTCAAGTTCAAAAACAGCGGTAAAAACACATCCCATTCGGCACAACAACGTTGTATCAACATTGAGAATAGGTTGAAACGTTGAGACTTGGTTGAAGTTGAGAATTCGACGAAAAATCAACATCAGTGAAATGCTAGCTAATCATAATTAACCGTATTTTCAGCTATGTTACGTTGAAAAGTCAACCTTTTCTCAACATTGAGGCAACATTGCCATCAACCTTTTTTCAACGTCGACACAACGTTGTTGTGCCGAATGGGATTGATAGAAATCCGCTTAAATATTAAACAAAGAAGCCCCAGGATTTACAGATCCAACATTCACTGAAACCACTCAAATCTGTATGCTGCTCTCAATTTAGGGAGAGAACAGCTGGAACCGATAGTTACAAAGAATCGAAGTAATAAAGCCACCAATTTTGCTGGTAACCGGTTAACTTCCGCCCACATGGAATCGTCCAAGGATGCGGGACGGGTCGTTTTGCAGAAGCGACATCTGTCTTTAGTTTCTTGAAGTATGAAGATGGTTTGAGGAAAGAGAGAGGGCAGCGAAAAAGGAGCCAAGAGACGGGCTGGCTGGGCTGCAGCTGTGGCTGGGCTACTTCAGTTCTCGTTTCTGACCGTCCGGGACCAGACAGATGGGTCCAGGCCTTAACCGCAGTTCCAGTTTCACGGAAGCCCTCGTGCAGTAGGCCCAACGATTCACTTCTGGTCCTGGTCTCTAGCCCTAGGCCGAGTCGGAGGCTAGGCCAGGGCCTCGTCTCTTTCTCTCTTTCCTTTTTTATTTATGACACTTCCGCGTGTGATAGGCTAGATAGGAACGTTGCTAGGCCTAGTCTGTCTCGAGGCCTCTTCTGCCGCAGTCTCCCGACAACATGACATCGTGATACAAGGTGAGAACGAGTGATTCCTCGGTAGAACGTATGGCCTACTAACGTTAGGCGTATGATAGGCTACGTCTAGGCCTATCTGGGCCGGGGCCACAGTGCAGAACAATAAGGTCGGTAGCCCTAGAAAGTGAACGCAGCCTTGAAAATGGGGATACTCGTGAAGCTAGGCAAAACCTTCCTAGTTTTATTTTGGGTTCTGGTGTGCACAGAGCCCTTTGAAGGTGAGGGGAAAAGGTGGATATTAACATTAAGGTGCATTGTGTTCTGTTGTTAGTGACTTGAAAAATTTAGGCCAAGACATCTGGTCGAAAGTTAATGACTAGCATATGGGCTTGGTCCATGCAAATTGAGTCAGTGAGTCTCATATAATTTGGACTGGATCTACTTCTAATTATGGGGATGCTGGTCCACAATTACATCCAAGAACTATCACTTTGGGCCCCATCTGCCCAGAACCAGGGTTTCTCCTATTAAGTATACATAAGCCCCTTTTGTTTCTGTACTAGAGATTTCTGAAAATTTGAATGATGCTGCCATTCCTCCTAAAAGTGAGTCGTACAAAGACCAGAGCTGTTATAGCATGAGGCTCTTCACCGACACTAGTTTATCTAGTTTCTTATCAGTACTAGTTTAGCTATTTGTTTTTATCTGTATTTTTCTTTAAACAAGCTTGAGTCAGGCCTGTGTGTCAGTGGAGCTAACTTATCCCTGTTGGTGATTCTGGTTTTCCAGTCCCCACTTGCAATCGACCCGGCCACACGACACGGTGGACGCCCGAACCCCCGAGTCGCGATCGGCTTCGTCTCCTAGAGACCTGGTGGATGCCCCTGAAGCAAGAGGGAACGCGAGGCTCCCGTCCCGATGCAACAGGAACTCTTTCTCCTCCTCCTCGTTGGTGCTCTCTGCACGTGGGATCTCGTGCTGGGAACCTACACGTCTGACTGGGCCGTGGAGATCCCGGACGGGAATGAGGAGACAGCAGACGTGGTTGCCTCCAGGCACGGCTTCGTCAACATGGGCCCGGTGAGTCCAGCCGTGTGTCTGATCGAGACCAGATACTATTACTTTAGCAAACTTTTTTTGCATGGGAAGAAAAAAGTCATATTTGTCAGTAGAAGAAGATATTAGAACTGGTATAGTTTTTGGTTTCCTTCACCAAGTAAGACTTCCTTTATTTTTGTCTCACATAGAGCAAATTGATGAATATAAGATACAAATTGTAATGTGTTTAATGCTGGGCTATCAAAGTTCGTGGTCTTATGGGTTTGATTCTGTATTAAATTACTCAAGGTAAAGCCCCACCTTGACCAACCAACCCATAGACTAGGAAGAGTGGTTTTTGCATGGCTCTGGTCACTTTTTGTATGAGGCCAATGCATCTACTTGAGCCTCAAGAAGGCAGCTTCAGATATTTAAGCAACCAGATCTCATGCTATTCGATGACCTATGGGGCCATGCATTGGAGCTTGCCTAGCCAAGTGGGAATTTGAAAGTTCCCTTAGACCAAGTAGGGAAACCAAAAGTTTTTCATGTCTGTTTGACTTTGAGGTCATTGGACAAGGTCCCCATGGATCTAAAGAGAGACTGGTGTTGAAATGCTGCATCTTTGTGTAACACTATTCACTTCCTGGATTGTGAAGAAGCGATGAATACCCCATGAGAAACATAAGAAACTCATCTTGGCCTTGTCCTTCGATGCCTCCCGAATATCTGAGGGAATTCCTGCTTTAATATTTGATGGCATTGGGACGAGAACTTCGATGGCGGGGTTGGACCGGGTTTCTCGGAAGGGAATTTACATTACGGTCTTTGGGGAACTGCTTCATGGGGGGGGGAGTAAATCCTGTCGATCTTGCGCATGCATTGAATGGGAAAGGTCGACTCTGAGGCTTCTTGGAAATGTGTCCTAATTTCCTTTCGAAGGACGGGGGATTGTTACGTATGTCCTCCGTAAACGAAATGAAGAGGAATGGGCCTGGCCGTTTTTGTCAAGTGCGGTGAGCGCCTCGACCCGCTTTTCTGGGTCAAGGCCCAGGCTTTTCCCCGCGATTCATTCGGTCGTGGGAGCCGAACTGGTTCTCGGTGCGATGCGGAAAGGGGGGGAATCCCGGAAGGAGGGATTTGCGTTGCCGATTGGCTTCGCAAGAAATGCGTATGTATGTATGAATGGAGGGATGAAGGGCAGGGGGTGAAGAGTGACAAGAGGGCTCCGAAATGGTAATACCGCTGGGATCGTTGATATGGATCAGGAACTGGGGAGAAGGATTTTTCCTTTCATCAACTGGGAAGGAGTTGTCAGGAGTGGAGGTCGACGGGTTCGCGATTCCGCCTCGCCTTTTTTATTTAGTCTTTTTTTCTTTCACTCGCGTATCTCAAGGTCCAGTGAAAGCCCTTGGAGGAAGGTGCCGTTATGACTATTAATTAGTAGTGAGGATTCCGCTCGTCGACTGCCTAGGAATCGGGGGAACGGGAAGTCATGCTTGTCGGAATCGGATATGCCTGCCTGATTTCACTGGGCGGATTCGAGAAACGGGGCAACGTGGAATCTCCCCCCCCCCCCCTGTTGCCGGGGAAACGCGACTGCTGATATTTCCGTGAAACGGCTCGCTATGGTTTGTCAGTGCCGAGAAACGCATCCCGGAACTCAGGATGGCGCTTCCACGGAAAAAGAGAGAATCATCCATTGTGGCGTTTCGAATCGAGGGGGGGGGGGGAGAAAAAATCCCCTGGGAGAACGAGTCACGGGTCCATGCGCCGTCATCCCGCCTTTTTAAATGATCATCAGCCTTGTTTGATCGTTATGATGCTGGCTGGGGACGTGACGGCGGCGAAAGATGAGCTCCGGGGTGGAACCTGTTTATTTTATTTAATCATTCTTAGCCAGAATTTTTTTTTTCGTTAATTTCATGGACCCGATTATCTGTCAGAAATGCTAATCCTATTAATCTTGGGCAGTTTCATGGATTTATCAGATATTCTGGATCAGATAATCTGCCATGCTCCCGCCAAAGTCGATAAAAGGACCATAAAATTGGAGAAGGGAACGAACAATGACAGTGGTATGAGAGCATACCGTCCGCTTATCGCCCAACCCGAGCTAATCAATTTCCCCTATCAGCTTTCGGGCGATGGGGTTTCTGGCATCGGCTTGCGCAGGTACGATCCGTTAAAGAGATTTGGGGACCGATTTGTAATCTGGAGGGGGGGGGGGGGTTTCGGCGTTATGATGGGAAAAGTCCGTTACTTTGCCACCCCCCGCTATCTTATCTTCCTCGAATTCGCTTCCCTCGTTTGCTTATGCTCTCTTCCCGATACTGCGCGTCCTTTTAAGGGGCGTTTTAACAAAAAAAAAACGCTGCTCCTGCCATGGACCGTTGTTCTCGCCTGTGTTACCACGATGTCGTTGCGGTTGTACAAGAAAATAATAGTAAAAAACTTTAAATGATGCATAGCCTGTCAATACCCCGACCTCTTTATGGCCGCCGGTTTTATCGGCCACAAATCGGTATGCTGTGGGAGTAATACCTTGGGGGAGCCCGCGAGAACGGGATTTGCTCCTCGGCGATGTCCTTTTCCGCGTTTTTCCGACGGAGCCGGAGAAAGGGCCCCAGACTAGGTGGAAAAATAATGATGATAATTCTCCAGATTTTTTATATGCAAAAAAAGTAGGCGTGGAGAGATTTTCCCGGCAGCCCCTCTCCTCCCCCGGAAAGAATTCCAGGCGACGCCCGTATTTGCCTGTTGGCAAAGACACGTTCCACCGATGAGTTTCTCACTTGCAAGTTAAGCACTTGTTTTTTTTTTTCGCCCCAGTTGCAGCGTGACATTCTCTGATCGTATTTAAGCCAGTATGAATGGGAAAGTAGGCAATACTTGAAAGATCCCGTAACAAGAAGCGTTCCCCGGGAAAATACTGTACTAATTTGTTTACAACGTTTTTTCGTTTTGCTTTATGGAGGAAAGGATGTTAGCAGGTAATTCGTTTGGCCCAAACCGAATTATCTCGGAGAGGGAGTTTGACACGTCATTGTTCCTTGTCGTTCCAGATCATGGACAACATCTACCTCTTCAGGCACGAGAGGGTGTCGCGGAGGTCGGCGGAACCCAACGACGAGCACCACCAAAAGCTCGTCGATGAACCGCAGGTGAGGCGAATTTTTTATTTGTCCGTTTCTGGAAGACTTCTGGGGTGAAATGGGATGAAAGGTGGGTCGTGCCGCGCGGTCAGGTGAAGTGGGCGGAGCAGCAGTATGCGAAGCGGAGGTCGAAGCGGGGGGCGATGTCCTGGACGCCGTATCTGCAGCCGTTTGCGTTCAACGATCCCCATTGGCCGGATATGTGGTACCTGGTACGGGTGGTTTCTGTCTTTTGGGGGTGCGAGTGGGAATTTTGTTTCTCATTATTTTTTTTTTTTCCCGGGAAAGAATCGAGGGGGAGGGTTGGACATGAACGTGCAGGCGGCTTGGGCGGACGGCAACACGGGGAAAGGGGTCGTCGTCACCATCCTGGACGATGGACTGGAGAAGGAGCATCCCGACCTCAAGCGAAATTATGTGAGTTGGGATCTTGTAATTTTGCGGGGGGGGTTTTTTACCGTGTGGTTATCGGTGGAGTGTGTGGCGACTAGGACCCGGAGGCGAGCTATGACGTGAACAGCCACGACCGGGACCCGAGCCCCCGCTACGACATCTTGGACTCGAACCGGCACGGAACGCGGTGCGCGGGGGAGGTGGCGGCGCACTCCAACAATACCATCTGCGGGGTCGGGATCGCCTTCGATGCGAAAGTCGGAGGTGAGGCCCCTTTTTTGGTGTTCTCTGTCATGCCGATGGGATTCGGGATTATCGCGGAATGGAGTCGAGATGACTTTCCTTTTTCGGTGGGAACGGTTTTAACTTTCAAGACGAGGCCTTCGAGGCAGCGGGTGCATGAATGCATGAGGTGCCGTCTGACAGGTTCCGAAATGTCAAGGGTAGGGTACTTGAGCTGCCGGAAGGATTCGAAGGATTGTGATTTCTGGCCGGTGCCGGTTCCTATGTTGGTATGTTTTTTTGCGGGAGAACTCATTGTGCCAGCTTGATATGGTGCGTTTTGTGTATGAATTGCTCATCATAAAATGCAAGTGCAATGACGAAATATGGGGTGTCATGAGATAAAGACGGCCCTTCAAGATATGGCGTTTCGCTACGCTGCAATCGCAGTACATGATATTCGGCTTACTACTAGTGGAAAAGGAATGACTAACCGTACAGGGGGTGCCTGGGAATGCAGTTATTTATTGGATAAAAAATGTTATTTCCTCCTAGGTTGACCAGAAACTTTACATTTGCATATATCCCTCACCCTGGTACCCCTGACCATATCTGCATGTACACCTGACCCCCTCTCTCCTTTTTGACTCTATCCTTTGGGGGTATCTGTATCAGCAGAGTAGAAACCTGGAGTTGGCTTTTGTCATAGTGGCAGCCTGTACCTACAGTTGTGCTGATGTGATGCATCAGCAGTCAAGATTATGCCCGCCCTAAACACATGTATCAGCAGTTCTTCATGTAGTCAAGTTGCGAATGACGAAATGTCACGGGTGATTGCAGGTGTGAGGATGTTGGACGGTGACGTCACCGATGCGGTGGAAGCCCAGAGTCTGAGCTTGAACCGGCAATACATCGACATCTACTCCGTGTCCTGGGGTCCGGACGACGACGGGAAGACCGTCGACGGGCCGGGACCCTTGGCCACGAAGGCATTCGTTACCGGCATATATGAAGTGAGGGGATACTTCAGCCCCTTTTTTTTCCCCCCTTCATCCCTTGATTATCCACTTTGTTACAATGATCCACGGGATTTCATTCCTTTCAGGGTCGTGGAGGCAAAGGATCCATTTTCGTCTGGGCATCGGGGAACGGAGGGGGCGATCACGACAATTGCAACTGTGATGGTTACACAAATTCCATTTGGACCCTGTCGATCTCGAGCGCCTCGGAGCATGGACTGGTACCGTGGTACTCCGAAGCGTGCAGCTCCACCCTGGCGACGACCTACTCCTCGGGCTCCAACACGGAGAAGCAGGTCGTGACGACTGACCTCCACCACGGATGCACGACGTCCCACACGGGGACGTCCGCGTCCGCTCCCCTGGCAGCTGGCATCTGCGCGCTCGTCCTCCAAGCCAACCCCAATCTCACATGGAGGGATATGCAGCACATCGTTATACGCACTGCCAAGCAGGCCAATCTCAGGGCCGACGACTGGAAGACGAATGGGGTCGGGCGTAATGGTACGGTGTTGCTTTTGCCCTGTTTAATTGTTCGGTGACTCAATGTAAAGTTTTCCGGCAGAGAAATAGCCCTATTTCCAATCCAAGGCTGAGTAGTTTTTTTTTTTTTTTTTTTTAGCGACTCGAGCAATATAGGATTTTCTTTAAATGTTCACTGTGAGCCGGGAGATAGCTGTCACAGAAGGCATGCCCCTGTGATATGCCTGCTTTCAAGGGAAACCATGACTTACATGCATGACTAACATGATGGTGTCGTATCAGGGAGTTTCAATGGGAGTACTTGACAGGCACCTCTTTCATCTAGAGCTGCTAGGTCTCACAGCTGTTAAAAATAAATATTTTGAATGTTTATTATATTTCTTCAGAACAATCTTTGTTTATATTTAATTCTGTTTAACTCTTTTAAATAGGCAAGTACCTTCTTATTTCTCCTCTTGGAAAAAGTCTGCTGTGATTGTCATGCTTTTCTTTCACAGTTGTGAGTCATGGATTTTCCTGGCTCTGATAAAAACAAAAAGTGCCGCCTATTAAGATAGTTTATCATAGGTCTTTTACAATGTTGCTGTTTCCCCTACAAATTAATACTCTTAACAAATCACTCTCTTGTTTACTCAGGAACCTTGCCATTGGTTGAGCCACAGTAAAATAAGGGTGCTGAGTCCCCTGAGTTTTGCTGATGTTCCAGCTCTTTTGAAGCTGTGAAAATATGTGGTCGAGTATCTGCTCTTTCCATTTTTGTTGTTGACCTAATGCACAATTCAACTTAGCAAGAAAATTGCCAAAGTAATTTCAACAGAGGCAATACCAATGGACTTGACTTGGTTCAGATGTGTGCCTTTCAAGGATCACATGACTTACAAGTGTTGGGCTTGTAGTTGTAGGATTAAATGTATTTCCAGTGAAGCACAGAAACATCCTGGACTGTTTTTGGCATGCTGGGATGCATCTCTGTACGAGATGGTGGATTTTAGGCTTTGTTGTATCTTGCATTCAAGTATTAAAAAGACCAGCAGAATATCTATTGATTACATAAGGATTGCATGAAATGCTAAAATGAAGCAGGTGCTGATGCATTCTGTTGCTAAATAATAGCATTCATGGTCTCATCAAATCAACAACTTATGACACACCTGTTCAGTACAATGATATTACTTGCTTCATCTTGGTAGTCAAAGAATGTTGTATGTATGAGTTCTTTGAAAAGTGAATGCTCTGACACTGTTCGATTAACACATTCTGCCAGTGGGAATTCCAGTGCTGTTGCATCATGTCGCATTCTGCAGCGAATGGGTTATGGTTTTGTGGCTTTGGGTTGTTTGATTCTGGGAACACTCAGTGGGAGCTCATAAATGGCATTTTGCATTGCAGTGAGCCATTCCTTTGGCTACGGTTTGATGGATGCCCATGGAATGGTGAAACTGTCTCGAACGTGGAAGACTGTTCCCATCCAGGAGAGGTGTGAGATCCCAGCATCACATATCAACAAGCTGATCCCGTCCAAGAGTCAAGTGACACTCCCTCTTGAGGTCAAGCAATCTGACTGCCCCAATATCAACTTTCTTGAGCATGTCCAGGTGCGTTTTGTTCCTCCCAGGTCACAGAAGGTCTTCTTACTCTTCCACTTTCTACCATGCATTTGGAAATGAAAAAAAAATTTTTTTCCACATATCTGACATTTGGATCAGTAAGCTCTTGGAGAATTGCATCAGGGAGTGCATCATTTCTACTCTTCTTATTCCCAATGTTCATATACATATTTCTCTTTTGGAGCTTGATTCATTCTCTTTTATGAACAGGATGTTATTTCTAACCCCTTTTTTTAAAACTTGAATCTGGGTGGGCTTACCTTCCTCTGACCAGGACTTACCTAGTTCAAGGCATTAAGTAAGAAGTATCAATTCTTGATCTGACCACTTTGACATTTCAACCCATTTTAGGCCAAGGTGACGCTGGCAGCCACACGTCGAGGGGACATCCAGATCTTCCTGACCTCCCCAGCAGGGACACGCTCAACATTGCTTGCTCTCAGGCCTAAGGATGCAGCTCGCTCTGGCTTCAACGCGTGGCCTTTCATGACCGTCCATTCTTGGGGGGAAAGTCCCATCGGGCTGTGGCAGCTGGAAATCCACAACGAGGGGCGATATCTCGGTCCGTTCGTCTCCCTTCTCATTGTTGAGCCTTTGTTTCGGAGTGAATGTCTCTTTGAAAAAATCCATGGGCAACAAGGTAGTTTTCATTACATCAAATAATGAAATAATTAGAGATGCAACGATATTGAATTTTGACTGATATACCGATAATTCCAATATTGGAAAAGAACCGATACCGATATCTATATATACATTTATATTTGCACATTCAGGGTGGATTTTGAACAGTGAACTATCTGATAATGCTGCTTTACTTCCAGGAAATATGTGTTTACCCCAGAATAAAGCTGCATTATCAGATTGTTCTCTGTTCAAAAATCCACCCTCAGGCATTAACCCCTCCACTTTTAAGTTTTATTTAGGGCCAGGTCTGATGGGGGGAAAGCTTGAGGTGCACCAGTGGTGCACCTCATGCTTTTGCCATTTCTCCAATAGTGAGAAGAAATGTTTTCTTCATGCTGACGCTAGGCTCCTCAATGTGGATTTTTTAAATATTACATTGGATATTACATCAGGTATGTTATTTCCTATGTTCCATCCCAGAACTTGCAATAAGGTGGAATAGCAATTCTTTTTTTTTTTTAAAGTAGCACTCAGTTCAGAAAATGTCAAGAATGTCAAAGTCCCCTCCTTCATACCTCTAATGGACACCCAGACAGACATGACTGACAAATTTTTAACGCATCAGGTAATTTGCCATGAAGGTGAAATGCGAACATAACTGCTTTTCAGGAAAATGTCTAAGCAATCAATCATATTTATTATATTACAGAAGTTTTTATCTACAAAGATATTTATGTAATGCATTATATTATAAATATTCATATATAAATTATGGCATTATTAATATTTTTGATAAATTAGGGCTGCACCGACGTATTGACAACCACAGAGATTCGCCTCTGGTGTTGCACCATTGACGCCATGGCTACGGTAAGGTTGGAAGCTGTCGATGCCGAAGCCTGTTGCACCGACGTATTGACAACCACAGAGATTCGCCTCTGGTGTTGCACCATTGACGCCATGGCTACAGTAAGGTTGGAAGCTGTCGATGCCGAAGCCTGAAAGAGGGCAAAATGCAAAAAAAAAAACTACGTGAGTGTGAGCGCGGTTTGTTGCCGGGCCCGCCTGTCTCGCTGAAAGCCTTCCCCGCCGTCCTCTCCCAGAAAAAAGTATCGATCAGATTATGCGAGGAGTCCTCGATTTACGTCGTTTCGATATAACGTCGCTAACATATACGTTGCGTCGTTCCGATGTGACGTCGTAAATCGAGGACTTCCTGTATATAATTTAGTCCATGTTAAAATAGGTTTCGTTTTACGTCGTGTTTTCCGGGAACGCATCCACGACATAAATCGAGGACTTATTGTATTTCAGCCCGATTGTAGGAACTGGTGGAGGAAAATAGCCGTAAAGATCGTGAAAAATTTGCATCTCCTTTTATGCTGTGCATTAGCGAGTATTATTATTATTAGCTGTGTATTAGCGAGATTAGCGAGTTAAGCCCTCAGCAATCAGCAATAGGTAACCATGACGGACGCAGACAGACAGGCTGGAAAGGTCTAAAAGTGTTTTATATCGTTTTCAGGAGACTCATTGATTAGTATCGTAAGGCTTCCAAATAGGCCTATTTGAATTCGTATGCGATTTCACGTTACTTTCGCAATCTATAGAGTATAAATCATCAGCTCCGGCTCCGGCACCGGTCAATGGGTACGAGTTCAAAATGCGCCATCAGTCTACCGGTCAAATGTGGCCATCGGCCTAACGGTCCTAACATGAATATAAAGATGATAACATTTTTTAAAATCGGTGGTTCCAAATGGAACCTCTGGGCACGAAAGAGTTGAAATCAGACTATAGTCTAGTGATTTTTGTACGAAGGTTTTGGGATCCATCTAGGCCTGGGTTCTTCGCGCTAACATAAGCGATGTCTATTTTCGCAGAAAGTACGGAGTAGGCTATGGTAATGGCATTAGGCCGAGTTAAGTAGATGACGCTTCTCATCTCTCTCTCGGGTGACTGGGTAATGAGCTTATGTCGCGTGACAGGTGGCCTGGGCTCGAACCTAGCCAAGTCAAGTGCATATTTCCTAGTTCAAGCGCCAGCGTGCTTGGGAAGGGAGTACCCAAGCACAGAGTGCTCCTATCTCTAGACGTGGGACGTTGAGGAACCGCGGCAGTGAAGGTCGAATCCCAGGGGAATCCCAATACAAAGGGGAAAAATGCTTATATTTTCAGTAGCCTAATACTTCTTTTTTTATATGGGTCATTTAGGCATTTTCAACCTTCTGCAGTGTTTTCACTTGAGTTGGACATTTTTTCACTTGACTTTGACACTAATGCATGAGGAACGTCCCATGAACGTGTGTTCGAGTCAAGTGAAATGTTGTCTAATGGGAAAAAGGTGAGAATATTCGTCATTCGCTTTATATACTTGGCGTTTGGCCTACTTCAGGTGTAATTTCAATATCGGTTATCGGCAGGTCATATATCGTTTTAGGCCGATATATCGGATTCACCTGATACCGGCCGATACCGACAACCGATAAAATATCGTTGCATCTCTAGTCTCAAGGAATCATACCAACTCTTAGCCTCCAACAGTCACACGAGTTTAGCAAATGTCTCTTTCTATCTCATTTGAAATGGCCACAGACATTTTTTCACCTGTAGCTTGATGAGCATTCAGGGTATTATGGGGGAAGCAACCAGATGAAAGAAGGACCTCAAGGGATGCAGTGGCCCCAGTCTCAGCTGCAGCATGCAATGGTGTGGATTCACATGCACCCCAATCCATCTTTTGCACTGCATTCTGCAGCAGGAACACTTGCACCGCCTCCTGTTGACATCGATTCCCACTCTCAGTTGTAATAAAATGAAGAAATTTGTCACTTGGAAACAGGTAGCTGAAGGAAATGGACTCTAACTGGATGGTTCCGAGCTGCAGCCAAATGTAAAGGAGTGAAGTCAATTGAGTCAACAAGTGCAGGATCTGCCCCTGCTTTCAACAAAAAGAGGCAGGCATCGGCATGACCCATAGCAGCAGCCAGATGTAGTGGGGTTTGAAACACATGGTCAGCAGCATCAAGGGGAGTGAGAATGGCATTGAAGCGTTCACTGGCTGCTCGGCTCACAAGAAGGAGAAGGCACCGTGTATCAATGTCCTCTGACATCACAGCCAAGTGAAGTGGCGTACGACCTTCATTGTCTTGGTAGAGCAGGGATGATGGATGCACTTCCTGTGGAAATGAAAATGAATAGAACACTTACATGAGGAAACCATATCAGGGGTACATTCCACTAAAGCTTTACAAAGTTACTGGCATAGTTTCTACAGTTACAAGGGTATTGCCTCTTTGCTCAACCCTTCCAGCCAATTCTACTGCAGGAACTGAGTAATACGGCATGACCCTTGCATGCCTATAATTGTAACTTATAAATCTTTTGAGGAGCAGGTCCCTGGAAAAGCATTTGGGAGAGAGACAAATATCCAAGGAAAGAATCAATACAAAACCAGTCACAAGGTCTTTATTACAACTATTCATCTTCTCACCTCCTTAATTGAGAAGATAAGGAATCAAGACTTTCATGAGTTACTTTATTGAATAGAGGAACTTCGATTTTAAAAAAAGTGAAAAGATTGGTGGCTATAGCCAAAGGATACATACATTCAAGGATTCTGAGATGGATCCAACTTCAACAAAACCAAGTAATTTCTCAAAAATTGACATAAGTTGATTAAGAGTTCAAATTAATTATTACAATAATAGGTATCAGTCTGACACAACATAAATATCCAACTTGTGGGGGTAAATATAGCACACTCACTAGAAGCCTCTCCAGGCACTTCGTTGCCCCAGCCAATGCAGCCAAATGAGTTGGGGTCCGTCCCTCATTATCACTTGCCCCTACATTTGCCCCATGCTTCAGTAGGTATGCCAATGCTGCCCAGTTGCCACACGCACTTGCATAATGAAGTGCTGTCCTCTGAAATAAGAGGGAACATTGATCACACAACTTCTCCCATAAACAAACTTGTAACCTTAAGGCAAACCTAAAAGTGTCATCCCATCCAATTTCATAAAATGGTGGAAATTTGACTTGAAATATAGCTGATTTTGTTTTGATGGAAAATGGTGGAATGACCAAGAATCAATCAGTAAAGGAGAAGGTTGGAAGATGAAGAAAAAGGTGCTACTAATAAATTTAAGTATGCAAATTCTAATGTTTTGTGAGGTTTAATTTCAAGATAAAGTGAGAATTTTGGAAGCACATTTGAAAAATGTTTAAATTAATCAATTTTTTTACTAGATGAAAACATAGTCTGCATCCAAATTCTTAGTATCCAAATTCATCTTCTTACTTCAAATATATATTTTTTGATTTGTGCAATATTCCCTTTTTTGGGGGAAGGGGGGGCTTTTTATATTCACTTCACTTTCTGAAGAATTGTGAAATTTAAATTTTAAAGAACAAATTTTTTTAAATATGGCTTATTTTAAAAAGTCAAAGAGGAAGAAGTTATAAGTAAACATTTTTTTATAATCCAAGGGAACCCTTGTTAGCTAAACCCATCAACTTATGTTCTTTCTCTCATGAATATAAGGGGGATGAAATGATATGAAATATAAATATTGGAACAGCACATGCCTGTTTGGAATCTAAGAGTTCAATCTGCTGCTTCTTCTTGATCTGTTTGATAATGAGCTTGAGGATGTGTGCATCAGTATGCCTTGCAGCAAGATGGAGGGAAGTGGAGCCTTCCTTATCTCCTACATCCCAACGTGCACCTCGAAGCAGCAATGTCTTCGCACATTCCCGTGCATTCTGAGACAAGATTTCAAATTTAACAATACCATGAAGCCTGGATATGGTTTTTTAGAATAAAAACTAATTAAAAACCTTCTGCACAGCAATATGCAAGGGTGTGGAGCCAGAGATATCTCTGGAAGTGGTGGAAGCACCAGCCTTGAGAAGGAACGCAATTGTATGATGACTGCCTCCCAGGACAGAATACATCAGTGGGGTCCTCCCCATCTTATCTCGAACTTCCAGCAGCTGTGGGTGGGCTATGGGGAATAAAATCACACAGTACACTGCCTTAAATTTTATAAATTTATCTTTTAATGATTTCATGAAACAATGGCTGATTGCTTTTGGCAAACCCTGAGGAAACATTTCACAAAATGGTTCATGCAGGCAATTCAACAACTCTATAAAACCAGACTCACCAGCAAGATAAAGTGTGATCTGATCTTTGTTGCCCAAAGCAGCTGCAACATGAATCCGATGTACATGCATAACTCCTGGAATGACATCATCAGATGCCAGGCCAGTCTTCTTATGCTTGGCCATGAACACTTAATGCAGAATCTCCTTATTTCATAACATACCTAGGAATGAAAAGACCATTTATTTCAATAAATGCATGATATACATTCTTAGCCAGTGCTCCCAGACAGAATGATACCCTTACGCTGAGGAATGACCTCAAATAAAGCCTTAGACCATTCTTTGCCATTTGCAACCCTAAGAATGATATCAAAGACATGATCAATTGTTAGTACTTTTCTGGCTTTCATTTCAACATATTCATCAATTGGGAGTCGGGCATGTGATACCCCCTTCTCCATGGCCATCTGATGACAAAGACCCTTGTGCTGATTATGGTCCACCAATCCTCCAATGATATACACTTTTGTGTCATCCAACTGATGCATAACATTCTCAGATTCACTGGTCAAATAAACAATTTCCTCCTTGGAGAAGAGGCTATCATAATGGCTACTGTGTAGATGAACATCCCAATTTTCATAGCCTTGACGCTTGGACATCTCACTCTTTCCACGCCCATCCAGACTAGTCACAAAGAACTGAAGAGGATTGTCAGCACGCCGGTTTAGGCTGTAACACCGATGCACCTGTTTGATGCACTTCTTAAGGTCTCTGTCATTCATGAAGTCCTCAAATGACAAGTCAATCACAACACGTTGCTGGCAATCTGAGGAATCCATTACAACTTGCTTCAAATATTTTCTGTCTGCCTTTGGGGTTTCCAGGCCTTGGCTTCGTAGTTCAACCACCTTCTGCTTCCTTTTTTCTTTCTGACGTTGTTTCCTCAAGGGCTTTTGCTCCAGCCATTTCTCATGCTTCAGCAGCCTCTTTTTCTGCTTTTTTGATAGGCTTAAATTAGGAGATGAGATATCAATGGGAGGAGGCTCAGTTTCCACAGCCTTCCCAGCAATTGATTCAGGTTCCTTTGCCGACAGACTTTGCTCTCTGAGGGTGTTGTCCACCATATTGCAACTACCGATGGGGGGGGTTGGGACATCATGAGATGTGGTATGGTCCATAAATTCAGGTTCCTTTGCTGACAGACTTTGCTCCCTGATGGTATTGTCCTCCATATTGCAACTACTTAGGAGGTGGGATTGGGGCACCATGAGATGGAATATGGTCCATAGCAAACCTAAGCCTACTTGTATTTATTCACCAGGTGAATACCATCAACACCATGCAAGCACCCTAATTGCATGTGTTCCTCACTTTTTGCACAAGAAAATCAAGGTAGAGTCTGATCATTCTTTAATACTTAGTCTTACAGAACAGGCACAAAGCAAATACACTGCAACTCCTCCCCATCTGTTCAATGCTTTACAGCTGATTCCTTAGAACATGATAACATGTTTATTGACATCATTCCTCTGTAGTGACAGATGCTTAGAGGGGTATCCTGCTTGTTCAATCCTCACTGTCGCTCACAAATAATGTATGAACTGAAGTCAGGAATAGTAACTCAGCAGGGCACATGTGGTCCAGGTGTTGATATACCTGATTTGCAGTTTCCTGTGATTAAAATTCCCAGAGTTTTTAAAGAAAAAAATTAATTGACTGAGTTATTATTTAATTTTTTAATTCCCAGAAGTTTTATTGAGGCATTAATGCTTTAAATTTAGTGTCACAGTATTTCCCATATTTCAAGGTGAGATGTTATGACATGAGATTTTTTTTTTTTTTGCATTGTTCTCATCAAGACTCTAGCCTGGTCTTTGCAGCCAGGTGGCCTTGCTGAGTGACTATTCCTGACTTCAGTTCATACATTATTTGTGAGCGACAGTGAGGATTGAACAAGTAAGATGCCCCTGTGCAGATGCAGCTGAACTGTATTTTTCCAATCCATGAACCCTCTATCTGAAGCCAGAAGGGAGTTTCATGCATTGATGGTGGGTAATATTGTCTTCCTTCTGCTATTTATTTGGTGAGATTTTTTCATTATAAACAGGCAAAAATTTGCATAAAATTCACCAAGAGCTTCAGCATCACAATCATGCACCTTGACCCAGTAAATTTTTCCAACCTCCAGAAAATTTTGTTAGTATTGGAATCATTCTGTTATATAGAACATTATTCTTGTTACTGCCATGGAATATAATATAAATAGGAAGATGACTGCTTCCTTTCAAGCATGTGATGCCAGAAAACAACACCATATCACTGATGTTGATAAAAACAGGGTGGCACTTAACATTTAATGCCCTTGTGGAATCAACTGGTACAACTTAGATGAGGGAATATTTTTATTTTGGGAAAGTATATTTGGCCATGAGTTTCCTAACGTGTCTTTGAAATTTGGCAAATCCACCAGCAGCATTTCAACATGTTTACAACCGTGAGTTAAGAATTTAACCCATTGATGAGGGAGTTATCTTCATGCTCCTTGGATGTTTTTGAAGAAAAATTAAAGAAAATATATATTTAAAGACTTTCATCATATTGTGGTAGATAATAGTCAATTGTTGTGTGTGATAGACAAAAATTGCAGTGAACTCAAAAAGAGAAATGTGAACAAAACTTGAAATTGAAATTTCATTAAAATTTTGGAACATATATTTTTGGGCATACTCTTCAAAGGGTTAAAGTGTCTCAAAGAGGACCAGGTAGTCTTCCAATTCTTCCAGGGCAGTAGTGATACACATGGCTGTTGAACTTTTGGTTTCCAGAGCACATAGACCATAGGTTGCAACATTGTGGAAATATTGCTGGTGGACTCACTGGACTATCAGCAAATTCAAAATGTACTTTCCAAGAATAAAGAGCTGTTTTTGTCAAAGTTTATCATCAGGCTTCAGGCAGATGGAGAGGCTAAATATCGTGAGTCACCCTGTATATGATCATTTGCACTGTCACACTCACATTGAAATCAGTAGTCTCTTTCCAAGAACTATTGGAATATCTAATCTATTGGAATATCTAGAATATTGGTATATCTAGATGCGATTACTAAGGGGTCGAGTGTAAAGTAGGCTTAGATAGTTTTCTCTTCATTTACAGCTGCATGCATGGTTTTCTTTTACTTCGTTTTGATTCTTTTCCCACTGAGATCTTTTTCAAGACCTGAACCACATAGCAAGTGAAGGGTTTGTTTATTACTAAAAAACAGAATAGGCCAGCTAAATGATTATGCATTATGGCAAGTCATATTAACGAGGAATCTTGTAAGTTTCAGTGTCACGAGTCTTTCTCTTAATTCAAAGCAGCCGAGTACGCGATTTGATGGTATCTACGGACTGACTTGCTAATAAGAGATATTAAGATATTACTATTAAACCGACACGTCTGGATGATGCTCACATGACAAAGTTCGGGAGCTCTAGGTTTAGGTGTTCATGAGACGAACAAATACCGGTTTCCCTTACAACCCCTATGGACTTTTCCACTCTAACCCCTATGAGGTAAACTTTGAGAGTGCGGAGTCATTCCATTTTCAGTTTATCAAGGCTTAAAATAGTTGACTACGTCTATAGCCACGCATCGTCTCAAAGCAACGCAACAAAAGTAGCACTGAAAAAAGGCAAAACGAGCGTGAGAGAGGAGAGAGAGCACGCAGACATATTGGGAAGGCGAACTACTCCACATGGCTGCCTCCATCACGTGACCACACGTGCTTTTCTCTAGGCTGCTCGTCAGGATGGTGAACGTAATGAAAGGGATTTTAGTGGAATGTGATCCTTCGATGAGGCAGTTTCTCCTACATCTGGACGAAAAGTTGGCTTTGGGAAAGAAGTTTATCATTCAGGACCTGGACGATACCCATCTGTTCATTTCGGCGGACATTATCGAGGAACTGAAAGCCAAAATCGACGATCTCATGGATCGAATCAGTTTTCCCCTTGCTGAGAAAGCCTTTTAACTGCATAGAGGATGTCGAAGACGAAATCAGGAGATGTGATGTTTGGCCAGGTTGTCATTGGGCCTCCTGGAAGCGGAAAGACGACATACTGCAAGGCCATGAAAGATTTCCTGGAGAAGCTAGGTCGAAAAGTCACAGTTGTGAATTATGGTAGGCCCTTATTGCTAATATTTTGGACTTGTCGTATTCATTTTTATTAGTGCAGTTGGTTTACCAGGTTTCAATTTTTGGAAGATATTATTCCATCATTTCAATTGAAAACATTAGTCTGCCATTAGCTCATGGATGTAAGTCTCTCTTATGAGCAGCTCCTCAGCAAAGAAAAGTCGATATGAAGCTACTGAAACTTTTTTCATGGTTGACACTATCTGGCACAATTGCAATGCACACAAGATTTGAATCATTAAATTTCATGTATGTTTTAAGAGAGATTGCCAGGGCTGTAGTATCAATAATTTCTTATTTTTCTGACAGATCCAGCCAATGACCAGGTGCCGTATGAGGCAGGGATCTCAATATCAGAGTTGGTGACTGTGGAGGATGTGATGGAGAATCTTCACCTTGGTCCCAATGGAGGGCTTGTCTATGCCATGGATTATGCTGAGATGAATTCTGATTGGCTTTTGGAGAAGCTGAATTCCTTCCCAGGCCACTACTTTCTCTTTGACTTCCCTGGCCAGGTGGAGCTCTACACACATCAGGATTCAGTCAAGAAGCTCCTTCGCAAGTTGGAGAAAGCTGAAGTTCGCCTCTGTGCTGTTCATCTTGTCGATTCACACTACTGTTCTGATGCAGGTATTGTAAAAGCACCCCAAGGCAGCTGGCAAATCTCTTGTTTTTTTTTTAACTTCAGAGAGCCTTCATGAAAAATTTGGAGAAATTGTTAATATGGCAAACTTTGTCATCTAAATACATGCATATATGGAAAGTGCTTTTGGTGTTTGATGCAAAATTTAAAATAAATGGAGATTTTTGATGTCACCCCTGATTTGAAATCTCACTTCTTGCTTCAGTTGTACCTATTTAATCATATTTTTGTCCATTATATTGACCCTTATTATCTTCTAACACTTTGGCATTCATCATTTTGGGATTCAGCATTGTTTCTAGCATTTCTTATCTGATCTTCTTAAAATACAATTTTAAGCCTTTCTTTCAGTCTTTGCAAACTTCAAAAATCTCATTGATGTCTCTGCATACTTGGTAAGTGACATGTACATGCTACATTGTTTTGTTTCTGTGCATGTGCCATAGGGAAGTTTATTGCTGTGCTCCTCACTTCCCTGTCCACAATGCTTCAACTGGAACTTCCCCATGTGAATGTCCTGTCCAAAGTTGCCCTTGCTGAGAAGTATGGGAGGCTCCAGTTCAACCTGGACTTTTACACTGATGTCCTAGATCTCCAGTATCTACTAGAATGCCTCCAGGTGTATTTCTCATTTCATTTACAACTGGGAACATTGAGATTTTTGAACCTTTATCAATTAATTCTTTTCCATGACAGGATGACCCTTTTGTGCACAAATACAGCCAGTTGAATGCTGCTCTGGTGGATCTGATAGAGAACTACAGCTTAGTCTCTTTTCTCCCAATGGATGTGAGTGACATCGAGAGTCTGGTGAAAGTGCGTGCCGCTGTTGACAAGGCCAATGGATATGTGTTCCATTCTGCTGAAGAGCAGAACATTCAAAGTCTGCTCTCCTGTGCCATGAGTTCCGAATTCGAGCATGAACGCACCGGCATCATTAGTGAGAAGTTCCTCAGTGATGACCATAACTTGTGATGCTGTGAATAAATTCCATTCCTCAATTGCATCCTTGGAATTCACAGGTTCAGGATTTATCATGATGAGTGTAAAGTTCCCACACTGAATGATTTGTAAAGGAGCGAAAGTTTACTAGACAAAGACTCCCCCCTGAACTGGTCGTTTGGTGTTTATCAATTGAATTAGTATGCAAATTTCTTATTCCTACAGTGCATCTACAAAGGTGAGGGGATATCTGCCATGAAAGAAATATTGACATGGTATACATTTTTTTTACAAACCAATGTAGGACCATAATGTTTGGGCTGTAAGAGATACAGATCACAATAATAAGTCCTAGTACCAATCATAAAGGAATATGCTGCCTTCCAAAATTATTATTTTTGTTTAATTTTTTTTACAAAGATGCTGGTGAATGCCAATGTGCCTTACACGCATCTATTTACAGATAGTTGGCAAGTGAAATGGCTTATAAGAAAATACAGTGAAACCTGTGTAATATGGCCACTAGGGGGACTTTCTAAATTTGACCAGTTCTGACTGCTAAAGAGAGGGGAATTCCCCACCCCCTGCTTTTTCCTCTTGGCAGACTGTGACTAATCAGATTTTTCGGAAAATTAAACATACTGTATACTACAAAGGTATTGTACTTCTGATTTTGTGAGGTTTTAATTACATTATGTACACCGAGGAAAATTTGGAGACCAATGTATCAGTGAGGAAGTCTTGAATGTTCGTTTGACGCGCACGCACTTTGCGTTCGCACATTTGTTCCTGATTCGTTGACGCTTCGTGATTGCTTCAACTGACTCGTGCATCCCCTTCTCTGCCAAAAGGCACTTCAGCTTCTTCGTAGCACTTGATGGCCTTTAAGAAAGGGAGAAAGATACAGGGAAAAACTTGCGGCAGGTCAACACTCTTGATCGTTCTCTCGCTATCGAAATTCCGGAGAAGTGACCTTGACAACCGAGCGATGGGTCAATTTGGGGATGGGGGAGGGGAAAGAGGCGAAAAGGAGGAAAAGAGGGAAGAAGGAAGTTGCAAGCCAGGGAAATAAAAAAAAAAAAAGGATGGTAACGAATCTGCGATCTTCCTTCCTGTGTTCTGGCCGGATTAAAGTCAAATCCATGGCCGCTGGCCGCGTTGAACAGGTGGCCGGATAAAACAGGTCATTTTAACATTGAGCCTATGGAGCTAACGATCGGGACCGAGCACTTCTGGCGGCAAATAAGAGGTGGTCGTCATATCAAGGTGGCCGAATCCACTAGTTTCATTGTAAAAAGATTGAGCCAAGAGCACTCGAACTTACCAGGCGGCCGAAGTCGAGTGAAAAACATCGTACCACACTTCTGTGCGAAAGTCAATTTGAGATCACGCTACCTCCGGTTACGTAGTTCGTGGGCTACCAGCGTCTTCGTTGTTCGATTTGCACGTATTTCCTCAGAGATCCTTGGAGTTTGGTGAACCGCCTTTGGGAGCTCTGCTGGCGTGAGGTTCTCTTGTATACGGACCCTTACGGTTTCGGAACTTGTAAATCTGATATCAGCTGCTATAGCGTAAGTGTGACAAATTCCGACCACCTTAAGATTTCACTCTTGAATCTGTCCCTCACCATGGTTTTGAAATCGATGCCTTTAGGATCTACACCGTCCATTCCCTTTTTTAGACTGGAATATGGTGTAATTTGGTAGAGGCAGAGTTGATTTAATGTTATCTTCATTTATACGATGTAGGGGGCGGACTTCATGGTTAAAAACGGAAAGTTAACGGAAGTTAAAGGAAACAGAAATTAATATCAAATCCACAATCAATACTCCGAGCGTAAATCATGAACGGAAATACGAATCAAATGGAAATACGAATAACTTCCGTTAACTTTCCGTTTTTAACCATGAAGTCCGCCCCCTACATCGTATAAATGAAGATAACATTAAATCAACTCTGCCTCTACCAAATTACACCATATTCCAGTCTAAAAAAGTATGGAATGTAGTGCCCATTTCAATGACGACATTGAAACACAATGGGATGAGTCACAATCTTCAGGATTTTCTTCGCAAGCAGACTCGTGCATGCGCAGTTATTTTAAGGAAATCCAACGTAGGAGAGCCTTAGCTCATCTTCAAGTTTTCTGAACATCGATTTACTTTAAAATCGATCGATTAAATCGATTTTTACGAAGGAGTCTCTAAATTCGCCTAGGAAAGAGGATTGCTTCATTTTCAGCAAAACAATGAAGCCCCTTACTGGTTATAGTCAAAACGAGAGCAGATTCTCTTGGCATACCAGTTTCTTCGGAAAACCTTGGAACTAGACGAATTTGAAAGTCAGAAAATTCAGATTCCGAGATCTGTTTTGGTGAAATGCTGTCAACGTTAAAGCCGTTAGTGGAAGTTTTTACAGATGAGAGAATAAGCCATTAGAAAATGCAACAAAAAAATTAGACTGGTGCTCCAAGAGCTTAGATAATCGAGCATTAATCATTGCGAGCCATTCAAAATGCACGATGTGTTTATCTGCATTCTGAGAAGCCCACCCTCTCTCTCTCATTATCGTGAAGCATCCGCACATCTCTATGGTCGTCAGACACCAAGGAGAGTCTCAATCGAGACAAACGCTCTTTAACCTTTAAATGGTGGTCTTTTCACGTCATAAATACCTTAACCCTACATAATATTCTTCACTGCCAAATAATGGTTAACGGAATCGAAGGAGTGACATCTACTTCTCAATTCGAGAGGTTACGATTCTTGAGAGTATGCTAGATGACTCTGCTTATTAGTGTCACGCCATGGCGGGAACTCAGACGGAGGTTCGGAATGCGATCACCGTCCGGGGATCTGCAGAAATCGTCGCGGAATTCATCGGTAAGTCGCATCTCTCTTAAGTGAACGTTTCATCGCAACTGTTCCTAGCAGTGAATTGCTTTTCTTCATTGTTCAGACTATGGAATCAATAGCATTTTATACCAACGTGGCATCTACCCACCGGAATCTTTCACCCGCGCTCAGAAGTACGGGCTCACCCTCCTCGTCTCCACAGACGAGAAGATAAAGGGGTTCATCAACGTTGTCCTCGGCCAAATAAAAGGTTAGCGAGCCACAGTGAGACCTCGTGCACTGTTCCTTTAGCTTAACGTTAGGCCAAGTTGGATCTATGATCTTTAGGTTTTTTTTACGGCCTATCACCTCATTAGCCGATGCTGTCACGCCCAAGGCCTAGGCCTACCAAATTTTCTTTTGAAAAATTGTTATGCCCCTATTTTTGAGACAAGATTGGCTCCCTTGTATCTCCATTGCTTCATGCACTTTAACTTTTTGTTCCAATCTACTTTGGATTGGATATTGAAGGATGAGGGCTGCATATAATTGCCAAGTAAACGTGGTAATAATGTATTTTGCATACAAAGCCATGCTTTATCTCATATTCTTGAAAATAAAACATATTGATCAGTTCATATCTATCATCGACTGCACTGCATCAATTCTATTTCCAGAATGGTTGGAGGCAGGGAAGGTGCAGAAAATTGTGATGGTGATAGCAAGTGTGCAGAAGGGAGAGCCTCTTGAGCGATGGGAGTTTGGCATCCAATATGATGATACGAAGGCACAAAATGATCCCAAGTACAAACTGTCTGCCCTTGAATGCATGGAATTTGAAGTTAGGTATTTGCACAGTGGTAACATTATAATTTCCATGATTATCTTAGGACTGGGGAGAAGACAAGCAAGAAGGACCTGCAGCAGATCCAGAAGGAGATTCGTGATGTGATTCGCCAGATCACAGCCAGTGTGACCTTCTTACCTCTTCTGGATACACTCTGTGAGTTAAAAAAAAAAAACCTGCAAGTCATACTTTATATGTGATGAAAGTGCTTCAAATTTAACTAATTTGAAGGTTATGGTATATGAGGAGCAGTGAGATTCTAGTTGTCTCTGCTACATGCCTGTACAGATACTTGACTGTTTCCAGATCCTCCCCTTTCCCATTCCCATCTCTCCTAGCCCCTCTCCATAGCTAAGGTGAGCCTTCACAATGCAAGCAATCCTCTCCATGTACTCTGCCTCATCTTTGCAGATTTAGCTTATTAAAAGTGAAAATACATGAATAATCATTGCACCTTTGACTTTTCACTTCAAGGGGATTTGTAACTTGGTATTTACCAATTTCCATGATTATTGGGAAACATCATGAAGAGTTTAACCTACTTAAGAAGATAAGGAAATATAAAAAGTACTTAAAGTGCAATATTGCTGTACTTCCAAATCTTGCTTGTAACAAAAGTGATTTGTTGCCCAGACTGGATGGTGGTGGTTTCTTTCCATGACTAATATGCATTTGAAAATGTGGCTCCAGATGGAGACAATACCAATTCGAAGGGTGAAGTTTTCAAAACCCATTCATTCACTTCCTCTGTCATGTTCATTCCCAATCCACCTTCAAATTTTTTACTGTTCCCTTATTAATCAGATTCCTTTGATTCAAACTGCAGCCCATAGATCCAGAGTGATTGAGAGTCAGCTAATATGATTATTGTAATGTAGGTTCCTTTGATCTGCAAGTGTATGGGGACAAGAGCGTGGAGATGCCGGAGAACTGGGATGAGACACAGCCAGTGATGCTGACCAATGCCCAAGAGGTGCAGCTTAAGTCCTTTTCCACTGATCTGCACACTGTCCAGTCCTTTGTCTCCTACAAGCTGCCTGACTGATCACTCATCATGTCAAAGTACTTCAGTAGGATTCTGCACAAAATTCTAGAATGCACACAAATTGCTTTATTTTCTATATTTTTTTAAAATGAGGATAGTTCTGGCTGTGGATGCACAATATGCAGTGTTTTATTTCATGGATTTTGGGGATGAACATCATCTGTTGTGCAGTGGGACTACTCCATCAGTATTTATCATATTTGAAAAGTCATATTTGTGGCCTGATACTGTAAACCTTGACAAACTGAGACATTTAAATGTGCATGACTAAATACTGCATGTATTTCATGGAGATCTCACTACTGAAATCTTTTCCATAATCTTAATGTATCCATTTAACCCCTTCACAATAATGTTCAGCCCCTCAAGTCACCCCCAGTGGAGCATTTTTTTTTTGCCTTTCAATTTTTTGAGATCCATCTTTTATAACTATTTTGTGGGGTGGATAAAATACTTTTCATCATGTGGTAGTTTTAATCTTTTTCCTTTGACTCATCAGATTTCATAAAGCAACTGCCCATAGGATTGATCCTATAGGCAGTGTTATTTGACCACAACTCAAGAGCCAAGTTCCTGTTATCTCTTTTTTGTCATTCTGTCATAATGGTCATTAAATGAAAAAAGAAACTACTGGAGAACATGGAAGAACAGAGAGGCAGGTAAATATATGTTGGAGTCAATGAAGATTGCTTTATAATGAGAGTCTGAGAATCTGTGTGCTGAATGAGCTGGAACCAAATAGAAAATTTGCCTCAACACCCTTAGGAATATTTGTCATAATCAGACATCCAAGAAGTCCTTCTATCTTTGTGTGACCATCATAGTCTGGGATGTGGTGATTGCACAAAGGAAAGAAGTGCAGGATAAGTAGTAGGATTATGATGCTGTCTCCAATGTGTGGATCTAGAGAAACAGGTTAAAATTTCTTGCCAGGGGGCATTTCCTACTTTTAATTGTCAGAGACTTGGCATCCAGTGAGGTTGTCCATCTTCCTTTGCTTTCTTGTCTGTCCTTTGCCTGCAGTTTGAGCATGTGAAATGGGTACTTTGGGAGCATATTGAGGTGGGGGAATGGAGGCTGTAGACAATGATGAGAGTCAATCTTGTGGTTGTCATATGTAATCAGCTTTTTATCCTGTTACCAGTCATTCTCAAGGAACAGGTTGATTTTTTAAGCATGATACTATTTGAATATCCTATAAATGTCAAATCCATGAAGCTAGGAATGGAAAACTTGGCAACTGTCACAAGCACATGTGGGAAATTTATTCCCACTAGGTGGTAGCAACATGCTGATAAGCACTGTACAGCAGGGATTTTTTTTGGGGGGGAGAGGTTCTCTCTAAATGGAAATTCAGTGTTTATAGTTCATTGAAAGTTTCATAGTGAATACGGGACAAGCATTGCACCTGGAGAGGAATCCATTCTGAGACTGGTGAAACAATTCTAATTCATGTGACTGTTTCTCATGGGGCTAACTGAATGCTTGAACGTAGCCCCCACAGTTGTGGAATTAAGCAATAGTGGGAGAAAGAATTGTTCTGAGAAAATCCCTTACCATCTTCTTGACACCTTGTATATGTCCAATATCAAGAGTTCATAAATCTTATTTATTCGAATATACGAACCTTACTTTCTCCCATAGAAAACGTTGGAGCGTTTATTTTGAATCACCCTATGCAGAATATGTATAAGATATTGCTCCCTAGGGGATGTACCCCAAGTGTATGAATCTAACTGAAATCAGCACACGAACAGCTAATTGGTACCAAGTTTCAGCTTTCAACCACATCTTGAACATGCTTGAAATTCGTGTCATTCATTCGGTCGACCACGATCGTCGAAATATCTTAGACCAGGGGTATCAAACATACGGCCCGCCGTCTGTTCAAGAAATTTCCGCATGGATTAACTGACAATACAAATTTCGTGAAAATTTTCGGGTGCGGGCCGCCGACCGATTTGAGTTTGATACCCCTGTCTTACACCTTAGGTTTCATTTATTTCCGACACGACTAAGGAACCAAGAAATATAGCTGTTTCTGCAAATACGAATATTCGCCGAGATTCCTGAACGAGTACTCCTGACTCGAATCGGGATACGATGGTGAACCTGGTTTCTCCAAATCCTTTGGCATTCTGCTTCTGGAGTGATGGTTTTGTCTGCCAGGAATGTGACGATATGAAAAAAGTTTATCTTCATTCTACATTTAGGCAACGTTCATCCTCTGCAGGCTTCCTAGGGTCAGCGATCGACAGGCGATGGAGAAACCGTGGAAGAAACAGCTCAGATATTTTTAAAATCCATCCCTCGTTGTTCCGATATCCAAGTGGAACTTCATAAGCCCAAGCTGGCAAACGAAGCGAGAGACTTAGATATTATTATCGATGAGGAACTAAAGTTTTCTTCGCACGTTCAAGCTATGATAGCTATATGTACAGGATTCCAGACACACCCCGACTTTCTATAGCCAACAAACAGGCTCGCGTCTTATCCTTTGTTATATGCGGCGCTGGTAAGACCTCATTTATTCTTATTGCGTCCAATTTTGGAGACCATGGACTAAATGTGAACTAACGGCGCTCGATAGGGTCCAGAGGCAGGCTTAGAGATTCATCTCAGAGGTTTAGGGACTTTACAGCTCGATGTTTGCAGCAGAACGAAAGGGGAACCAACTTAAGGTGAGGTTGCGACGGAACTCCATTACTGGTAGGGTAGTGATGACATGGAATGCATTAAGTTACGATATAGGGGAAGCCCCGCCCGTGACTAGCTTTTAGAAGTGGCTTATACCAACATGAACAAAACGAAAAAGGGAACATCGTAGCTTTAAGTGACTAGGAAGTTGGTTGGCTATGATTCCAAAAAAAAATTATATATTTAACCCTTTAGCTACTGAGTTTTCTTTTTCCAGTACCCCTATGAACTATGAGCATATTTTAAGCTTTTTTTTTTTTTAAAGGAAGTTGGTACGAATTTGAATCATGCACATTCCCCTTAGCAGTGAGGGTAATGAATTGATATAAGATGAATGCCTGATTGACTTGATTTACCAGCACTACACTATGCACTATGAATGGTACATCCTTCAAGAGGTGGACGTTTATATACGTCCATAACAGTGAAAGGATTAAGAGGTTGCCTATTTTACGTTTAGCAGAACGCTTGACCGGGACACAGGATGTCATAATGGGTGGATACACCTACTGACATCCTTATAAGTAAAAAAAAAACTTGAAACCCTCATTGCTTCCTCAAAGCACGATTGCACGACTCGTAGCTTCATCCACCCGAGAGGACAGGAGCAAACACTCCCTCTTGACATCAAGCACAAAAAAATGGTCCTGTTAAGATTCTGAAAAAAACATGTAATTCCCATTTCAGGAGACTACCAAGACATGCTGATTGATACGTGCTTCATTTTCTATAAAAGATGCTTTGCATGACATTACCTCTACATTCATTTGAAGTGGGAGGCATTTTTTATTCATCACCCTTTGGGTAATTACATCGAGTGCATCAAGTAAGGTAATTAGATCCTTGTACATACATTCTCTCTAGTGATTCAAACTTTAATGAGAATTTTACTTCAGTAAGGGACGCTCTTTCAAAACGGATACATATTTGAGCAAGCAACACTTGTTCTGTCCTTGATCCGTCGGTCGGTCTGGGTACTCCGGACGACACCACGGCTAAACGTTACCGTATGCAGGTTGCTGGAATTGGATGACGCCGGGATATACTTGCTGATTCGGTGCGTTCATCTTGCTCATCCTCAGCGCTTGTATGGCTGCACGGCATCGTTGAGCGACCACCGCCCCGCCGATGATGTATAGAACTGGAAGAATGGAATGGATGCGAATGATGCCCAGTCGTCCAAGGAAATGTAATTATTGAGTGATACAAACCCAAGACTTCTGACTCCTGAAGGACCCTTTCATTCAAATCAAAATTTGCTTATTTAATTAAATGTCATGTCCCGTATGGACATGATACACTTGGACACCAGGAGTCGTTATTTTTTGCGTAAGGAAGACCCTTTGAAAAATAAGTACGACAACACCATTGTTTCACTCACCGGCAGATAGGAAAAATCCAACAATGCTGCTGGAACTCGAGTTGCATGCACACGTCTTTGGGTCCGAATTAAAGCAAAAATCGACACAAAGTTGTTTGGATTCGACGATAGCGGCAATCCCGAACCCGGTGAAGACGATTCCGAGTACGACAAAAATCCAGCATGCGACGATGATCCTCTTCGCCGTCTGACACGCAAAAAAGATCCCTCAGCATTTCATCTCGATCAAAAGCATTGGACTGAAACGACTGAGATTTCAAGAACTGACCCCGAAAGTAACGACGTAGATTCCACAGCAGAAGTCGAGTCGAACTGGTTCATAGTCGGTCACTATCACATTCGGGCTCGCCATCTTCGTCTGTACGATTGGGATGAATGCGGTTCAGGGGGACGAATGGACAGAAGAAATTAGTAAACCTTGAAAGCTTGAAAAATGTGGAACTTGTGAGGCACGTGAATCGGTAAGAATGCTTTTCGGAAGGATGTGCTTCTTGAATGAGGAAAACTGCTTCAAAGGAAGAGCTTGAGATGCAATCGCTTATGAGTGTCTCGTCCTTTGACGTAAGGTTTCGGAGTCCTTGGACGATGTCCAAGGCACTTCTGTTCGAGGAGTGCCTTTAGATCCTGCTCTTGCTCTCAGGGTTCCTAGCTGGTTGCGGAAGAGTGGAGAAACAGGTTTTCTTGGCTGCTGTGAAGGTAGAGTGAGTAACCTTTCGAGTATCCTAGATTCTTCTGAGGAGCTGGCAATTCACTTATTATAAAAATTAACGTGAATTTTGGCAAAAAATTAACATAAACTTTACATAATATTGATATAAACATGCTGCTTGGGATGAGAACGGGAATATCAATTTCGCGTAAAATTCTCATCAATTTTACATTACCGTTTGCGTATCACAGAGGTGACATTTCTGCAAACATGTTGACAATATATTTGATGAAGCTTTGCGTAAAATAGATATAGAATTGAAAACTAACAATTTACATCAAAATTATATAATATTGACGTAAACCTGCTGCTTAGGAAATGTCTGCTGAAATCATTCCTGTTTTTCTTAATAATGAAGAAGTTTGGTTCTGGAACAGTCTTCATGGTAGAAGGTTGCCATGCACAGGGTTTCCCATTTGAATCGGTTTTTTTTCTGCTGGGTAACATGACTACCTGAGTATGGTGAATGCTTTTGACGCATATATAGTTTACTATAGTTTATCCAAAGAGAGGACCCATGCAGCATAACAACGTTGTGTCAACATTGAGAAAAGGTTGAAACGTTGAGACTTAGTTGAAGACGAAAAATCAACATGGATGAAATGCTAGCTATTCGTAATTAACCGTATTTTCTGCATTTGGCGACTACTCGTGAATTAGCGAAGTCGTTCAGAGGCTATTAGGCGGGAAATTTGTTCTCCATCATAGTCTCACCGTTGTTTCTACGTGGAATAATCCACATAATATCAACAGAAAATAGGTTCTACTAAACGACAGGAGATGGCGCCTGATGCAGCAATTCTCACCCTGGTGCCTTGAAATAAAGAATATCTTGTATGTTTCATACAGAACTCAATCTTTTCCCATGTACAACATAAGGGAAGACAGGAATTTCTAGAAAGACCTCCCAAGTAGCGGGAAGGTGATGACCATCACCTTGACTAGGTTGTGGGCCACCAGCTGCATGTCCCACTTACTAGTACTGGCCCGCCACCTTCCGGTCCGCTTAAGGGCCAGCACATTACCAGTTAGCTCGTTTGTGGTTTTCCTACCAGCTGGGAAGGGTCCTAATGTCTCTATACATATCCGCATTATCTATACATCATGGCTCTGGAGCCTACTCATAAGAGTACTCAATACCAAGATGGACCACTGTTCTCTTCCGCATTTATAATGAACCTCTGAAGGAACAAAGAGCAGGAGTCATCGAGTACTAACTCATGTCACATACACAATTTGACTTTGAAAACCCAGTCTCTTTACCTTACCCTAGTCCCGTACACTTCTGAATTCTCATACATAACTTCAGCGTTTAATAATTCCCCGAATCTTATATTGCAATCAAAACATCATAAGTCAACGATTTCCTAGTACCTGTTTATAAATTGCACATAAAAAAATGAAAAACGAGGAAGAAACACTTTTGCTAAATCAGGGAGACAGGTACTTCATTGCATTTGTAGGGTGCAGGGAACGGGGGTACCATCTAGTGGGGACTCTTGGTATTACATCTAGGAGAGTGCCAGCTTCATTCTCCACCTTGAATTATTCTACATTCTCCTACCTACAATAGGTAGCGGGCCAGCAACTGCATGTCCAACTTGCCGCCAAGTTCCCGCCCCCGGCAGAAATCCACAAGTGTTGTGCCTGGGCAGTTTATGGCCCACTACTTTTGCTCTGTTTGGGCTGTTTAAGGAGGTAACCCTGCAGAAGGAGACTCGAAGTACTTCTGGCCAGTGGGTCCTAGGAGACATGCTCAATTTTCCTAAAACTTTCACTCGGTCTCTTCTATAAAAGATAGAGCATGAAAATATGCCTGCGTGTTTGTTTCCCTCTACTGGACAGTGAGAGTTGAGTCATGTAAGTACTCAATTCGAATTCTGATCCAGTAAAGGAAATAAAACTCTGAGGGCCCTTTACGTGGGATGTTTGTACACAATAGAGTAATGCTTGTATCATATATCTGGGTACTCTCCGCGGGATAATAGAATCTATATTCAATCTCATCGTCAGCTATCCAGTCAAAAAATTTTCGTCGGGCCATCGATGGCTTTTCGTCGACCCGCTTATAAGCCGTAGTTGGGCCATCACTGCCATGTAGTTGGCTCACGGTTGGTTTAAGCCGGCTTATGGTCGGGCATGTCCTGTTGGCCCTTCATAGGGCCAACTTTGGCTCATTGTTGGGAAATCGCACATACCCCAATCATCGGCCGACTTTTCACAATGGTGAAAAGGTATAGGAAAAAAACAAAAAAAATTTGCATCAACAGCATTGTGTATCTTGAAGTGACGAGAATGCATCTTTTGACCTCTTACTGCTCCTTCGTATGGTAGAGATGAAGGAGCGGGACCTTATCTGAGTACTTTACACAGGTAATCTCCTCCCGCCAAGAACATCCCAAGCAATACTCCTTCTGGTTACTGACGCATCCAGGAGCAGAACCACTTGGAAATGCGAGGATGTCTGTCACCCCCACAGAAGGTTAGACACACCTTATAAGTAATTGAATATGGAAGACATTGTCTGCAAACAGAATATTCAGACGCGTGGCCAATTGTGGAAAGGAGAAAGGTCCTCCCACGGACCTCCGGGCCGGAAGTTCCTGGTTTATTCTAGATAGGTTACGTCTTCAGAGAAATGTTTAAAGGAATTCGATTGTCTTCCTCTGAGATCTATGTAAGAAACCATGGGGAACCGTGTCGGAGGGACAGGGGACTCATCTCAGAAGTATCCGGGAAGTGACTCCCCACTACGACCACTTTGGCTCCATCTCACGCCGGTTTTCGGAACCTTCTCAGCCACATTAGCCCATCTTCGGCGAATGATTGGCCGGCCAACTCACAAGTGACTCACAAATGTGAATTGGCCTGCCAATCATTCGCCAAAAATGGGCCAACGTCCCCAGCAATGGCCCGAAGATAAACCAACGAAAATTTTTGACTGGGTAATTAACGCTCTTTCAGACTCTGGATAAGGGAGGAGGTACTATAATGCCCGTACGTTGACAATTCAACATTGACACAGCGTTGCACTACAATAACTTTTCTATGGTGTGCTGTGCTTCATTTAAACCTTTTTACAACATTGCGGCAACATGTTAAGTTGAAAAATCGACTTTGAATCAATGTTGATTCAATATTATATGCTATTAGGGATGTTACATTCTTCATTTCAATTCGTTGGACATTTCAGTTTTCGGGGTTTCGTTATAGACCCGATTGTACTCGTACGAAATGGTATGGCATGGATCACTTCATCAAAGATCGTCCAGTGCAGAAAATCCTTATTAGCGTCGGCTTATCGACGGCTTTATTTCATGCGTCTCGCTTAGAACGGATTCCTGTGCCTCGTTTCTTCCTTGCCCAACCCTATATGTCCAGCATTTCAGCAACACCATAAACGTTCATGCATTTTCCCAAAGTGATGTACGTGGTATGCCTGATGCAGGATCTACTTGTAATTCTTTCTATCAGAAGCAGTAGGATCTCACCAGACCTAGGTTGAACTCACGCAAAAAAGAGCAATTCACTCTGTAAAAGACATCATTTTGGACCAATGCTGTTTTTTTTTAACATTCACCAGGCCATGTGGGGACGCTTTTGGACCTCATGCAGTACTTTTGTAATGAAATGCCTGAAGCTGCAATAAAGACTCTCTAATTTGAACAGGCAATCAAAGGTATTCTATTGAGGATTAATAAAACTGGAAATATGACTGAAAAGTGCAACAGATGTCCATGGAGAAATTTCCCAAAAGGCCTGGGGAAGCTTATTAGAGTCGATCAAGATTTTTAACCAGAAGCATCACAACATATTATTAGGTGCACCCCCTGAATATGGTATATGAGAGAAAAAATAGTTGTGCTCATGACGTGATGTGTGCAATGAACCCAGAAACAACTTTATCTTCTCTGAATTTGATCTTATTTTATGCAAAATCAAATAGAAACAAATAACCTGAATACGCTACTGTTCGTACCCCACTTATCCTCAAAACACACACACACAAAGAAGCACTTCCATTGATTGCAGATAGTGACACAGATTAGCATGGTACTTTAAAACCATCTGATGAAGGGTGTCCTCTTGAGTCTGAGCTTTCTTAATCGTTTTCCTCCACCATGGTGGTACTATGAATTCAATCCGAAAATAATTTGCGGGTGCACTAATTGATTCAAGACGATAGGCATAGACGATAGGCACTCACTGGTATTCTTTAACGTCAGACAAACCTATTAGTGAATGCAGTGGCTTTTGAGCTTAGAGCCGGAATGCACAAACCTCATTTAGGGGAGATAACGGGGCCTTTTAGCGAAGGAGCTATTTTTCTCCTACAGTAATCCATATGTTCTTAAAGGACTGTTAACTATCTATAGTTAACGGTCGGATCTTACCCTACTGACGCTACGTGTTGCACCACCAACGCACCAAACGGAATACAAACACCATATGAAACTGGACTCGAAAAATGAAGTAAGCGGTTCCATGAGAATCCTTTCGAGACGCACGAGCACGCACGGGTCCGAGGGGAGGTGAAGTGGCAAAGAGGCCATGCACTCAGACGGTTGCGTGTGAATTCCTCGACTGTCAATGCATTGCCCCGAGGGTTCATGGGGGGAAGGGAGGGGGGAGGGAGGGGGGGGCCTTCCTCGGCACGATGAAGTGGAAGACGGAGGTTGGCATACGTCTAGACGAATCAAGACCACTTAAACCACCCTCTCGACTCGACTACACCGTAGACGCATTTCGGTTTTGCAAAGACCTTTGTAAGACTTTTGTTACATCGACGTTGAACCATCGTGGATTCAACATTTACTTAAGGTTGAATGAAATGATTTTTCAATATGGAGTCAACGTTGATAAGCAAATGTTGAATCAACGTTGCAATGTTGCTGTTGAACATTGAATCATTGTTGATATACCGTTGATGTCAACGTTGCTTCAATTGTTGATTAAAATGAACTTTCAATATAGAATCAACGTTGACAGGC